TTCGCAACAATTCCTCATGCCCAAGCCAAATCTGGTGATTCGCACTCTCGAAGATTTCCATTTCTGCATTGGGTATCAATTGAGCAACTTGTTCCACGGGCCAACTCGGTCTGATATCTTGTGCGCCATATATGAAAATACCCGGTATCTTCAATTTTGACAATTCCGCAAGTAGTGATGGACGCTTGATAAACTGTTTCCATGATTTATTGACTTGCCTGTTGACTTCCATGTTTGCTGGATAGTCCTGCTCTGGCGGTGTCTCAAGTCCCTGATCACGTCGCTGGCTATAGATCCGGTGCCAGTCACGGTCATTGTGAATCCTACCTCCCGATAGGCAAACAAATCCCTGTACATGCTTACCATAACGCAGAGAATAAGCTATGCCAAGTCTGCTCCGAATGAGTGTCCAAAGACAAGCCAACGCTCAATGCCGTAGTGTTGGCGAATCGCCTCCAAATCCTCAATGCACGTTTCCACCGTATAGAATTCAGTTTCGTCGGAGCGGCCGCATCCGCGGTGATCGAATCGCACCACTTGGCACAGATCATCGAGCATTCCGGCAATTGGACTAAGATAGTCGCAGCAGCCAGGACCACCACTGCACAGAACCACTGGAACACCTCTCCCTTGCACGATTGTCCATAGCCGGAGTCCACCAACTTTTATGAACGTTTCAGTCATTTTGGGGTTGATAATAGTCATAGTTCTACTTCCTAACTCATCTAAGGAGAAGGCATAGATTAAATATGGTATAATGTAACCCCCTCTTTATGCAAATAATTCTGTTTTTTTTCAAATTAACCTCCTGATAACCTGACGCTAACAAAAATGCCAATTATTACAGTCGAACACCTCAGCAAACATTTCAAAGTCCATAAACGCCGCACCGGGTTTTGGGGAAATCTCAGCAGCACGGTTTCGCGCAAAGCACGATATTATCAAAGCAGTTGATGATGTGAACTTCACCCTTGAGCGCGGAGAATTGGTCGGATACATCGGAGCCAACGGAGCTGGAAAATCGACAACCATCAAGATGCTGACAGGGATCCTTGTGCCAACTTCGGGACATATTGATGTGATGGGGTTGACGCCATATCGTCACCGAAAGGAAAATACACGTCGGATCGGCGTGGTGTTTGGACAACGAACCCAACTCTGGTGGGATCTACCCGTTATCGACTCCTTTGAACTGCTCAAGCATATCTACGAGATCCCGCAGAATCTGTACAAACAGAACCTCGAATTTTTCAGCGAACTGTTGCGATTGCAGCCATTTCTGTCCACGCCGGTGCGAAGATTAAGTCTCGGACAACGGATGCGGTGCGATCTGACGGCAGCACTGCTACATAATCCGGAGATCTTATACTTAGATGAGCCGACGATCGGCTTAGATGTGGTTGCCAAAGAGCAGGTGCGTCAATTTCTGAGGCAAGTCAACGCGGAACGCCAAGTCACGGTTATTCTGACGACGCATGACCTCAACGATGTCGAGAAGGTTTGCCAGCGATTGGTTATCATTGACAGCGGCAAAATCATCTATGACGGCGGGATTGATGCCTTGAAAAAGCGTTACGGCAAAACCCGGATGCTCATCGTTGACCTCGCACAAGCGTATTCCGATATTCAACTTGAGGAGGTAGATCTGACCCGGCGCGACGGAAATCGTATCTGGCTCGCATTTGACCGCGATACCATTTCAGCCTCCGAAGTCATCGCGCAGTTGACGGCGCGCTATGAGATTCAGGATTTAACGATATCGGAACCGGAGATTGAGGAGATTGTCCGACGCATCTATGAGTTAGGCATGCACTAATACCCGCCGATCGTATCATAATGAAAAAATATCTCACTTTTACGACGAAAGCCTTTCAACGGACGCTGACATATCGGTTCGAGTTGTGGATGGAACTGTTTATCAACGTGCTGTTCATGCTGATCTATGTCTATCTGTGGAAGGCGTTATACACAGGGCGGACATCGGTAGAAGGATACGACCTGAACAGGATTCTGACGTACATCGTCGTCTCACAAACCTTGTTGACCTTCACATTCACACTCCGGGTGGCGCGTATTATCGAAGAGAAGGTACGCACGGGCGAGGTAGTCACCGATTTAATGAAACCAATTGATTTTCAGTTGATGACGCTTGCGACAGCTGCGGGAACTTCAAGCCATACGGTGCTATTCAATATGCTCCCAAAATTCTTGCTCTTTTATGGTGTGTTTGGTCTATCGCTACCGCCATCGCTTTTGACTGTTTTTCTCTTTCTCATTAGCGTGGTTTTAGGGTATGTCATTCTGTTCAGTATAGAATTTATAATCGGTATCTTTGCCTTCTGGCTTGTCGAGATTCGCGGTATTTACGCCTTTGTTATATGGGGGCTAGCTATGTTATTTTCCGGCTACTTTTTGCCTTTGGAGTTTTATCCCGCTTTTTTAGCCAAAGTTGCGGCGGTCTTGCCGTTTCGTGCGATTATCTATTTTCCAACTGCCATTTACACCGGTCAATTAATAGGAGAGAACCTCGTTACGGCACTGTTGATACAATTGACTTGGGTGGTTATGTTGGTCGGGGTTGGACGGTTGGCATACCGAGCGGCTTTCCGTAAATTGGTGATTCAGGGCGGATAGAACGAGCACATTGGAATCGTAGGGAACGCAGATCTGCGTTCCCTACATGTTAAGGAAGTATGGAAGGATCGATTGTGCGACGCTACTTCAAACTCTACTTTCTTCTCGCTGGCGCGTATATGCGTTCCCGGCTTCAATACCGGCTCTCGTTTGGTCTTATGTGCTTTGGTATTGTTATCAGCGAAGTCTGCTTGCTCAGTTTATTGGGCGCGCTGCTCGCTAAGTTTCACACCGTTAATGGCTGGACGTGGGCAGAAGTGGTATTCCTGTACGGCTTAGGGAACTTGGCGTACTCATTCATGCGGATATTGGGGAGCCAATTGGACGATTTTGACCGATATATCATCCGCGGCGAGTTGGACGGTGTACTGATTAGACCTGTGCCACCACTATTCTACATTCTTGCAAGCCGTATAGAATTAATTCATGTTTCGCGGGCATTGACAAGTGTTGTTATCTTCGTTGTTGCGTTCCACTTGACCGAGATTCGTTGGACGTTGAACGTCGCGCTGTTCACCCTCACAACGATTCTGAGTGGCACGCTGATTATGTTCACACTCATGCTCATCAGTGCCACCGTCGCGCTATGGACGACAAAATCGGGTAAATTGACGGATCTGCTCATTACCGCCACCAAAGAAGCGGCAATGTTTCCCATTTCCATCTATCCACTCGCCGTGCGGCTGCTTTTGACGTTTGTTCTCCCCGTCGCTTTTGTGACGTATTATCCCGCCCAGCAGCTTCTTCAGAAAGACGAGTTTCTCGGTATGCCTGAACTCTTTCAATTTGGAGCACCGGTCGTTGCACTAGTGATGCTCTGTGTTAGCTATCTGCTCTGGTGTAGTGGGCTGCGGTGCTATCACAGTACAGGTTCATGATGGTTTTCAGAGAAGGCTGATTTTTCCTTGCGCTTCGCCGGTCGATATGGTAAAATAAAAATGTTCAAGTGGGGCATTAGCTCAGTTGGGAGAGCGCTTGCATGGCATGCAAGAAGTCATCGGTTCAAGTCCGATATGCTCCACCTTTTTTGTGCCCACAGATCTATCCTACCTGTCGCTCGGTTTTGGTATGTTGTCTTCTCTCTTCGGAGCAGTGCTGAAGCGCCGGGGAGCTAAACCGTTGTCTAACACACCTAAGATGGTCAGATGCAGCTGTGCACGTGGCGGCAGAGATTTGATGAGATCTTCTTCAGCGATCTCAACCTTCTGTTCTCGCGCTAAGTGTTGCTGACGAAATTTTTTCAAAACCTCTCGGACTTGGTCATCTGATGCCATCTTATCTTTGGCAAGCCGATTCAGGGGCTTCAGATTTTCGATTGTTTGACGATGCCTTTGACGTTTGAGTTCCCACAGAGCTTTGATTTGTACCTTTTGTTCCGCTGTCACCCCAAGTGCTTCTAGCGTCACCCCTTCCTTCTTAGTTCCATCCTCCGTCTTTTGTGCCGATGTCACAAAGCCGAAAAATATGGCGAATACCAACAGGGAAAGTACAAGGCCGATATAGAATTTAAGCATGTTTCACCTCTTAGCAGACGTTTCCTGTTTTTGGCGAATTGTAGCCAATCATCTTCAATGCCACAAAAGAATATCATAATGCCGTTAGGCTGTCAAACGATGGATCCCTGTTGGTAGGGACATTTAGTTTTCCTGTAGGAGGGATCTCCGAATCCCGACACCTCACTAAATAACCCTAACCTGTTGAGAGGTCGGCTTTTCGCATTTTCAACTTCGATGGAGGTACGGTGCTGCTTCCCGAAGATTTATCAATAATTGATCTGCCCAATTTTGTGAAAAGATGTTATTATGTTACAATTCCATTTATAATATTGCGTTATAAGGAAACCACCAGATCTTATACCGATTCTCTTTATCAGCTTCTATGGGATAATATTTTTGCGAACAATTCTGTTAAATGAAAGGAAAGAAGAAAATGAAAGTGTTACTGCTAAGCCCAGGAAATGCTCATTTTGAAGGACATCTCGGCACATTACAAGAATTGCCAGAGGTTGAAGGCATTTTTATTTGGGGAGAAGACCAAGCTGCTCTAGAGTCCATCCAACAATCGGAGGAACATAAGGTGGAAAGCATCACCACCGATTTGGATGAAATTCTAGCGCGGGACGATGTCTTCTTTGCCATTGCCACCATGAGAACGGACTTGAAGCCAGATATTTTTATACGGATATTGGAGTCTGGCAAGCACCTAATGGCAGAAAAGCCGGTCGGCAGAACCGCCCCAGATGTACAGCGGTTGTCGAGGCGGCGGAGCGCGCAGGTATGCAGTTGGGCGTCTGCTATCAAAATCGGTACAATCCGATGATTCGTGAAGCACGGGATCTTATAGGACAGGGCTTGTTGGGACCGCTGATGTCGATTGAGATGCGTATGCTGACGACACAGGTACAATACCGCAACCCCCAAGGATGGCTATTTCGCCACGAATACGCGGGGAGTGGAATCTTGGCGTGGTTGGGCTGTCACTATATCGACATGTTACGCTACATCACCCACGACGAAATTGTGTCGGTGTCTGCCGAGGTCGCAACACGCAGCGGTGAGGATATTGATGTGGAGGATATTGCTACGCTCTCTTTTCGTTTGCGTTCGGGAGCGGTTGGTTCTCTACATGCGGGTTATACCCTTGCGTTGAGTGGATCAAAATACCCCAACCAACCCAGTTACGATACCTATGTTGGCGTCAATGGTCAGAACGGTCGGATTCACTGGGCTTCCCCAGGCGTTGCAGAACATATGAGCGTTGAAACAGCTCAAGGTTCTTGGGCGTCTGCGCCTCAGCGCGAATTTGACTATACCTTGGGTCAATCTCCGGCGTATGGTGGCATTGCTGGAGAGGAGTTCATCCGTGACTTTATTCGTTCAGGACAAGGCGAAGGCACCCCGCCTGCATCGGGTCGTGATGCACTCCAAGTCGCCCGCATAATTGATGCAGCTTTGGAATCCAGTCAGACGGGTCGCCGGGTAGAGGTTGAACTCCCTTAAGGAACCTGTGAAAAATGGGAAAAGGGTTTTAGACATTCCTGAAAATGAATGAATAAAATCTTAATCTTGACATTATTTCCCGTTAATGCTAGACTGTAGGACAGAGTTTTGGGGAAATCCGATTGAAGGCTGAGAGGGCGGGAATTTCCCTGATAGGTCTGGGCTTTAAGCCCATGTCCATTATTAGGAAGCCTACTTCTGTTTGAAGGGCTGCGAACTTGCTCATAACTGGAGGAACAGATGGCGTCTAAGATAGTAAATAATCAGGAGAGATTTGATTGGGTTGAGTACCCGGTACAGGATAACGTTAGATTAGAAGTGTATTGGAGGTCTGACCGAGGGGGTCATGGGCCGGCAGCCTCTTTATATTTCTATGATGACGAGGTTTTGCGGTTCGACTGTTTTGGGGGTGACGAGGGTCATTGTCATGTGAACCTGAAACAGACCCGAGGGCAACGGTGGTATTACCCGGAAGGCACTGTGAAAGAGAACATCAAACAATCGGGTTTTGATTTGCGGAAAAACTACATGTTTTGCATTCTGTCACACCAAGATGATAGGATTCGACAGTTGAAAATTGATGGGGAAAAACTTGAAGTGGTTGCAAGTCAAATGGAAAGCAGGTTGACCGAGATTGCTGCTCAACTCGATATGCCTTAGATTTGTAGTGACGAGGTACTAGGAGCAGCGGCGATCGTTGCCCCTAGCACCTGTCATCTGAACGTTCAGATTTACCCTTCCCCTTCGATTACTTCCATCCGAACACCACGAACAAATCCCGGATATTCCCTTCACTAAAGGCGGGATAATAGACACCCTCACCTGTAAAATCGTGGACAACCTCACCGCCTCTGCTGTCGGGAATATGTACACGGCAAGTTCGTTCCCTCTGCTTATAGAGTGCCGTAGGCGAAGGTGTTCCCGGCTCAACACGGTAGCGTTCTAGCGCGTACTCGTCAACCTCAATGCCCAGCCCCGGTGCTTCCGGTGTGGCAATTGTTCCGTCCACTACCTCCAACTGTTGCGTTAAGAGATTATGCTCCCACAACTCGAAGCAGGTGATTGCGGGTAGTTGTGCATGGGACAGGACCGCGCCGATGTGCATGGCATACGCGGTCGTAATGCCCGTTCCGACCATCTGCAGCCAGAACGGTTTATCAAACGAAGCGCACAACGCATTGGTTCTTCGCGTCCCCGTTGCCCCACCCCCGACGACAAATCCCCCGCCAGAGCAGCGGGCGTGTAGGCACGGTTCATTGAAGTGTTCGACAATCCGTTTTTCTACCACTTCCTGTAGACGTCCGGCACCTTCGATATCTGTGCCGAGATAGTACGGGCTTTCGTAGTATGCGACGTTGGGATGCTATCCAACTCTTGCAAAACGGGCTGCGCGCCTTCCGCTGTTCGGAGAAAACCGTTGAAATCGATGTCCAATTTGTAACCTTCTGGGACAACCTTTCCGACAGCCTCCACCTGCTCGAAGATGTCTCGCCACGGACGGGCTTTCAGCTTAATCGACGTATAGCCACGCTTCACGGACTCCTCCGCCTCTTTCACCCAATCCTCCGGCGGCATATCAATATCCCACCACGAAATCGGGCAGCGGTCCCGAACCTTTGCACCTAACAATTGGTAAACAGGGACGCCAACCGATTTGCCGACGGCATCAAACAGGGACATCTGAATACCGAAACCGATGCTGTCGTCCTGCATGATTGCAAACGGGTTTTGTCCGATGACCCGATCGAAGTTGCCGGACTCGTCCCCCATATTTTCGCCATAACCGATAACGCCGTTATCCAACTCAACGCGATATATTTCTATCTGTTCCGAGTGCGTCAAAGCGCGTTGCATGTGTCGGGTGACATAATCGGTGTAAAAAGGGATGTGTAGCGTAAGCATTTCAAGGGTTTTAATTTTCATTACTGAAATCCTCCCAAAGGTTAAAAATCCAGTGTGTATTGTAACCTAAGTTGCTAGTGTTAGCCCAAGTTGCCACTTACATCTCCAGCGGGGCGGTATGTGTATAGAACCCCAAAGCCTGCCTCCTAAAGCCCCGGCGGGGCGACATGTGTGTCGTCTTAGATGTCGAGTATGGAAACTCGACCTACGGGCTATCTAGCAACTTGCGTTATTGTAGCATAGTTTCCGTTTACGGGGCAAAAATTGTGGTTAGCATAGACCTTTTGCTCTTTTTTTGCTATCATATATCCAACACACTTATTGAGAGGAGACGCAATGAATTACGGAACAATCCCAGGAATAGAGAAAGAGATTTCTCAGCTTGTGCTTGGGTGTATGCTCTTTACGCCCGATACGATGGAACACAGCTATTCGATGCTAGACGAATTTTTTGCAGCCGGCGGCAATGCACTTGATACCGCACATAGCTACGGCGGTGGCGATAGCGAACGGCTGCTCGGTATGTGGATGAAAAATCGGAAAAATAGATCCGAGGTGTTTTTGGTTGACAAGGGTTGGCATCCACATGCTGCGGTGCCACGTCCGCGCCTGAGTCCAGAGGAACTGGCGCATGACATCCATGAAAGCCTCCTCCGTCTACAGACCGATTATATCGACCTATTTCTGCTGCATCGAGATGACCCAAGCATCCCCGCCGGTACAATCATCGAGCACCTAAATCAAGAAATTCGTGCGGGCAACCTCCGAGCGATCGGTGCGTCGAATTGGGAGCTTGAACGTCTCCAAGAAGCGAATGGATACGCTGCAGAACATGGGTTGCACGGATTTGTGGTCAGCAGCAATAATATCAGCTTGGCTATTCCCATGGAACCGATGTGGAAGGGTGTTGTGTCTGTGTCGGAAGCGGCGTGGAAGTGGCATCACGAAACACAATTTCCGCTGCTGCCCTGGTCCTCACAGGCGCGGGGGTTCTTCAGCGGGCGTTTTTGCCCCTGAAAAACGGGAAAATCAGGACATGGTGCGAGTATACTATAACGATGACAATTTTGAGCGACTTAGCCGGGCACAAATACTTGGAGAGAAGAAAGGGTGTACGGCGATACAGATTTCGTTGGCGTTTGTTTTGCATCAGCCGTTTCCAACTTTTCCGCTCGTTGGTCCCCTGACTCAAGAGGAGCTCGCTTCATGTCTTGCGGCGTTGGCGATTCAACTGTCCCCCGACGAGATGCGATTGTTGAATCTGGAAGCCGATGACATTGATCTGTGAACGAGATAGCTCACGAACAGATTGATACCCTTTCAGCTAAAGCCGTCTGTTTCGGACGTTCGATAAGTCCGATCGGTTAAGCATATACTACTGTCGGCTCACGTAAACGGGCAGAAAGCAACATTATGACATTTCAAGAGGCACTTTATGCCCTCGGCGTCCGGGAAAACACCCTTTCCGACGAGGAAAAGTTCAGGTTGGATCAAGATGGCTTTCTCCCCTTTCCAAACCTCATCCCTGCCGAGTCGGTCGCTCGGATGCGGTCGGAAATGGAGGCGTTGTTCACCCTCGAAAGCACCGCCGAACCGGGGATGCCGAAGGAGTGCACAAACATGCAAAATAAATCCTTTGCTTTTGATGCCTGCTTCACGCACCCACGTTTACTTGCGGCAGTTGCTCATGTGTTGAGGGAAGATTTTAGATCTCTAGGAATCCATTCGCGCCCCAATCGGCCAGGGGGTGGTCACCAACCGCTTCATGTTGACTACGGCGGACCGCCAGCCAAGCCCGGCACGTATTATGTCTGCAACTCAATGTGGATGCTGACCGACTTCACCAAGGAGAATGGTCCCACTCGTGCCGTTCCCGGGTCCCATCGTAGCGGCAAACACCCACAGGATGTGATGGAAGCACCGCAGGAAGCACACCCGGATGAGATAAATTGATCGGCACTGCTGGCACGGTTGTGGTCTTCAATAGCCATCTGTGGCACGGGGCTACGTTGAATCGCAGCCAAAACGACCGCCCAAACGTTACCAGTTTTTGGTGTCGCCGCCACGATCCGCATGTGGACAGATCAGCGTCGGATTGGGGTGTTCTCAATACAAAAACCTTTTCCCGTCTCAGTGAAGCGGCGCGATGCTTATTTGATTATGATTGTTGAACCTTTTCTGGCGACTGGTCTTTGTGGGGCGCAGATTCACGCAGATAAAAGCAGAGACACAAAGCTCTAGAGCATCTAAGGTTTGGCACACTTGTGTTTCGACTGGAGCACATTTCCGAGCCCCTTGATCCTTGCCCCGACCTCCTACGAATCAGTGTTGTCTATATCCCGACCAGAAGCCTACCTTGAGTTTGCCGAAGGAGCCGCAACTTTCGCACGGGAGAGAATCCTCCGACGGGCGGTCCGGGGCGGGATATAGTAAATCTATCGCTGTGATAGAAAACTTGCACCGAAAAAAAGGAATAGTTTATGTCTACCCAAACCAAATGTGCTTTTAATAAGTACCGACCATTGGCCCGCTGCCCTATTCGGAGCTGCAGGACATCCAACCATCCAAACCCCGACCCTTGATGAACTCTGCCGCAGCGGGGTTCGTTTTACTAACACCTATACCGAATGTCCGGTCTGCATTCCCGCCCGTCGGACCCTTATGACGGGGACTACACCCCGCACCCACGGGGATCGGGTTTTCAAAGATAAACTGACCATGCCCGCAGTCCCGACTATGGCACAAACCTTTCGGGACGCAGGCTATCAAGCCTATGCCGTTGGAAAGCTGCACGTCTACCCGCAGCGTGACCGCATCGGCTTCGACGATGTGATATTGGATGAGGAAGGGCGCGTCCAGTACGGGGTTTTAGATGATTACGAACTTTTTCTCGGCGATCGGGATATGCACGGACGACACTTCGACCACGGCATGGGTAACAACGAATACGTCAACCGTCCATGGCACCTTCCAGAGGAGACCCATGCGACCAACTGGGCGACGAGTCAGATGGCACGGTTCGTTAAACGCCGCTGATCCGAATCGGCCCGCTTTCTGGTTCATTTCCTACCGTCACCCCCACCCTCCGATCGTCCCCCTACAAACATATCTCGATCTTTACAGCGATATTCCGATTGATACACCGTATTGCGGCGCGTGGTCAGTTGCCCCAGAAAACCTGTCTTTCAGCCTGAAAGCCAACATCGCGCGAGGAGCCAAGTTCACATCACACCAGATCATCGCCGCCCGTCGTGCCTTCTATGCCCTCTGCACCCATATTGACCATCAGCTGCGCGTCCTTATCGGCACATTGCGCGAGGAAGGTGAGCTCGATAACACGATTATCTGCTTCACGTCCGATCACGGTGATATGCTCGGCAACCATAGTATGTGGGCGAAGCGGCTCTTCTACGAATACTCCGCCAACATCCCGATGATTCTGCTCGGCGTCGCTGGGGATGAACGGGTGGGTTACAACCGCGTTGATGACCGACTGGTTGGTTGGGCAGATGTGATGCCAACGCTGCTCGACTTGGCGGGCATTGATATCCCTGAGACGGTTGAAGGGATTTCAATGGTCGGTGAGCAGAGACGGGATTGGTTTTACGGCGAGGTTGGCGAGGATAACCATGCCACGCGCATGATCCGCGATGGACGCTACAAACTCATCTACTATCCGGTTGGCAACTGTCGGCAGCTTTTCGATTTACAAAACGATCCAGATGAATTGATAGACCTCTCCGCTTCCACTGAACATGCCGACATCCTCACCAATCTGACTGACCTGCTCATCAGTCAACTCTATGGCGGCGACGAAGCTTGGGCTGAAAATGGGCAGCTCATCGGCGTGCCCGACCGAGACTTTATCCCCGGTCCCAACAGAGGGCTCACCAGCCAACGCGGTTCGCATTGGCCCCCGCCGCCTCGCACGAATATGTCTCAAATACAGTGGCACTCTGAGGGCAAAGACAAAGTAAAGTGTGCTAAAGTTAGAGGTTCACGTTAAGAAATCGTGCAACAGAAACCGAGTTTTTTCTTGAAAACTCGGTTTCTCTTTGTGTTGAGCACCTTCTTTTGCTACGCACCCCGTAGGTTGGGCTTCCTAGCCCAATGAACTAATGAACTAATAGTTTTCACGTTTCACGCATCACGTCTCAACTTCGATTAGGAGGCTATCCTATGGCAGACTGGTGGCACAGCAAAACATGGCGGTTTATTCAAACGAACCTGCGAGAGATTGACATGCTCGACATTGATGCCGAGCGCGTAGTTGCTGATATGCAGTCGTTCAAAGCAAATGTACTGATGATTAATGCTGCGGGGATTATCGCTAGCTATCCCACGAAGCTGCCATATCATTTTCAGAGTCCGTTTCTGGAGGGGGATAGCCTACAAACAATCATCACCGCGTGCCATCGCGCCGATATCCGCGTGATGGCACGTACCGATTTCTCTAAGGTACGTTTCCCAATTTATGAAGCCCACCCCGAATGGGTGTCCCTTACCGATGCAGGTGAGATCATCGAATACAACGGAGATGTGCAGGTCTGCCTGAATGGAGGCTATCAGCAGGAGTACGCCTTACGGATTATCGAAGAACTGCTCACAACGCACGATTTCGATGGGGTTTTCTTTAACATGGGTGGATACCAGACGAGGGACTATAGTGGTAATTATCATGGTATCTGCCATTGTGCCAATTGCAAACAGCTTTTTCGGAGGTGTTTGGACTGCCACTGCCGACCGAAGAGAATCACGACGATCCAACGTTTCGGAAATACAACCTCTTCAAGCAACGGACATTACAGGCGCACCACAAGAAAGTTTACGATTTTATTCACAGGCTGAAGCCCGATATTTGTATCGCCAACCACCGGGAATTGCGTCGAGGGTTCAACCGGATGGAGGCAAACACTGCGTTAGATCGACCCCTGCCCCACTGGCAGTACAGCGCGTCCGACAATACGAAATGGGCGGTGAGCAGTTATCCAGAAATGGTGTCCAGCGGTACGACCGTTGACTTTATCGACTTCCCCTACCGGCATGTCGCGGTGTCACCCCACCAGCAGGCGTTACGTCTGGCGCAGAACTTAGCCAACGGCGGGCATTGGATTATTACCTTATCGGGCGGTTGGACAATCACGAAGACAGATCCGGATTCGAGCCTGTCAAGGAGATCTACCACTATCACGCAGCCAATGAAGCGGCATACACCAACAACCGATCGAAGGCGATATTGCGCTGCTGAAGTCTGACCGAGTCAGTGCCGATGCCTTCAAAGGGTGGTTCCGTTTCTTGGTGGAGAACCACTTCCTTTTTGATACCCTGACAGCGGACGCGGCACTGGATTTGGCGTGGGACAAGTATCAGGCGATTGTGTTGCCCGACGTTCGACCGATGAGCGATGAACTGGCAGAACGGATTGACCGGTTTGTCGAGGAGGGTGGAACGGTGATTGCCGCTGCCCAGAGCGGATTCCGGGATGCGGACGATGAACCCAGACCGACGCCGGTGCTAAAAAGCCTCGGAATTACACAAGTTAAGCGAATACGGACTGATATGCGCTCCTCATATTTCAAATTGGACGATAAGCAGAGGTTTGAGCGATTCGCGAATACAGAGCTTATCTATATGGACGGGACGTACGTCTATGCCACGTATGCGTCAGATGTCCAGCAACGATTCAAGCTGATTCCGCCACACAACTTCGGTCCGCCGGAGCGGTGCTATTACACACAAGTTACGGAGCATCCGGCGTTCACGGTTCGTCCCTTCGGAAACGGAAAGGCGATCTATATCCCATGGGAGCCGGGGCGGCTATTCCACCGGCAAGGCTATCCCAATACCTCCAATTTTGTCGCTGACCTGCTGAAGGGAATTGCCGGGCTGACGCCAATCGGGGGCAATCTTTCACCGATGGTTGAGGTGACGTGGTTTGAAAAGGTGGACGGCAGTTCACAACTATTGCATCTAGTGAACGGTTCGGGACATTTCGGGGTGAGTTTTTACCAGCCGGTCAAAATGGTGGACTTGAAAATCGAGTTGCCGTCCACGAAGCCCCCGAAGTCAGTGCGAAGTCTCGTCTCAGGGGAAACATGTGCGTATAGCCGGTCAGATGACCAGCTGACGATTCAAATCCCTCAACTGACCTTATTTGAAGCAATTGAGATTGTGTAGTAGATACTTGAGCAGCTGCTGCGCGAATACCTCTGCTATCAAAGCGATACTTTCAGCAGTTCTAAATTTCTGCGCAAGCAATGAGAAAATAGATGAAACTCAAATCTGTCATCAACTCCCTTTTGATGATACACCTGATAGCCCTATTTCTTCTACTTATCTATGGCTATGCGTCCGCTGAACCGACCGGAATCATTGCGTTTAACTCGGAGCGAGAGGGTCGAAAAAGAGAGGTTTACCTAATTAACGCCGATGGCACTAACGAGCGAAAGTGGCTTCATAACCCTAACGCTGTTGGCATGACATGGTCTCCTGATGGCAAATGGGTCGCCTTTAGTCAGCGTAACGCTAAACAAGAAGGTAATCTGTTTGTATTAGAACTTCGCACCGGAAAACAGAAAAACATCACCGCCCGGTGGCGAGGATTGGGGATGAATTTTTTCTTTTCCTGCTTGGTCTGGGGATGGCAAGTGGTTGACATTGACATGTCGGCTACGGGACGAGATCCGTTCAAATATTTGTATTATAAAAGCAGACGGAGATGGTTGGAAACAGCTAACAAACGCGGCCGATAAACACCAGTATGGCGGTCCCTCTTGGTCTCCCGATGGCGAAAAAATCGCATTTCATGGGGGCGGAATCTTTGTGATGGACCGAAATGGAAGAAATCGGATACAACTGAGTCCAAAGGGTCGACACCCCGATTGGTCACCCGATGGGAGGAAAGATTGCTTTCTATTCCAATCTACACAATATCGCCCAACAGGACATCTACGTGATGAACGCCGATGGTGCCAATATCGTCAGAGTGACCAATCACCCCAAATCAGACCGTTTACCCGCGTGGTCCCCCGATGGGCGGTGGATTGCCTTCATGTCGTTTCGAGGGCAAACGGGCTGGGATATTCACGTCGTTAACACCAATGGGGGTGAGGCGAGGCAGGTTACCACTCACCCGGGCAATGATATGTATCCGACTTGGGTGATTCCCGACCGTTCGCTCCTTGTTGATACACGAGGCAACTATGTCACATTGTGGGGGCATCTCAAATCGGATAAGCAATGAATAGACAATCGCTGCTAAAGGGAATAGTGAAAACCATTGTTACTCCGAAGGGGTTTCTGTGCAGAATGGCTCCAAGTTTGATTACAAAGTTGGTCCCTTTGCACATTTGGGGTTAAATCGACATCCGGTTTGCACGGTGTCGGGCAATCTCTAACCCATACACAAACGAAATTTGTCCCATTGCAGGGCGGTTTTAAGGCTAAGTTGTTCAAGGCTCTTTGAATGGAACAGCGTGTCAATCCATAACAATACCCTCCGACAGCGTTTCTCCTTGAAATGTGCACGTGTTTGGTACAAAAGTTGCACTTTGTCGATTCAATCTACAAATTCAGAGAGGACCTCCCAATGAATCGCAAGTACATTTCAAGTGCAATTTCCCCCCTTCTTGGGCTACTGAGTACCTTGGTCCTATTGGTAAACGTTGAGGCGCAAGCCCCCCGTAAAGCACAAATCGCTTTCGTCTCCGATCGCGACGGAAATGGAGAAATTTATTTGATGGATACCGATGGCAAAAATCAGCGCAATCTCACAAACCATCCGGCAGATGATTTTGCGCCTGCATGGTCTCCTGATGGTCGAAAAATCGCGTTTGTGTCGACGAGGCGGAGGGGGAGTGACGATATTTACGTGATGGATGCAAAGGGAAGAAATGTTCAGAGACTCACGGACCATCCTGGATCAGACGAAAAACCCGCATGGTCGCCCGATGGTCGAAAAATTGCCTTCAATTCTAATCGCGACGGGAGTGACGATATTTACGTGATGGATGCCGACGGCAAAAACGTCCGCAATCTCACAAACCATCCGCGGAATGTACTACTTTCCTACCTGGTCATCTGATAGTCGAAAGATTGCTTTTAGCCGTGTAGGAGGCGGTACTCCTGGCATCTATGTAATGGACGCTGATGGGCAAAATTCTCATCGATTAAACGATGCCTTACATGATGCAACTCAACCGGCATGGTCACCCGATGGTCGTAGGATTGCTTTCACCTTACACTCCGGGATTGATAATGACATCCATGTGATGGACGCCGATGGAAAAAACGTCCGGAGACTGACAGGACCTCCGACATCTGATATCTGTCCCGCGTGGTCTCCTGACAGCCAGCAGATTGTCTTCGTCTTGCAGAGGAATCTTCAAGAAAGGAACCACGACATCTACATCATTGATGCCGATGGAAACAATCTGCGGAACCTGACAAACCATCAGAGTGATGACCAAGAACCTGCGTGGTTCGACCCCACGTTTTCTGTTGCCTCTGCTGGTAAGCGTCTCCTCACTTGGGGTTGGCTCAAACGGCTTGGACGGTAGATGAGCAGGTTTATCGATCGTAGCGGCTCAAGATTTTCGCAAAACACTTTAGGTAAGGTAGGGTGAAAAGATGAAACTCAAATTACTAATCCTCTTTGTATGGGGTGCATTTGGCTTTCAGTCAGTGGCTGCTGAACCAACAGGCACGATTGCGTTCCTCTCCAATCGAGATAGTAAACCCCCTCACATAGGCCGTTCAACGTCGGTTTATCTGATTAATGCTGATGGCACCAACGAGCGTAAATGGCTTGAAAATCCTATGGGTTTTGGAGGGGTGGCGTGGTCCCCTGATGGAAAATTTGTTGCCTTGAATCAGTTTGCCGACGAGGGAGAAAGCCATCCCTTTGTGATAGAACTCCGCACTGGAAAACAGAGGAATATCACCAAGCGACAGCATGCAGCGTGGGGGATGAACTTTTATGACCCTACTTGGTCTGGGGTTGGCAGATGGTTGGCATTGGTATGTCGGCAACGCGACGAAATCCGTGCGGATATTTGTATTATAAAGGCAGGCGGCGATGGATTAAAACAGCTAACAAACGCGGCCGATAAACACCAGTATGGCGGTCCCTCTTGGTCTCCCGATGGCGAAAAAATCGCATTTCATGGGGGCGGAATCTTTGTGATGGATCGAAATGGAAGAAATCGGATACAACTGAGTCCAAAGGGCCGACACCCCGATTGGTCACCCGATGGGACGAAGATTGCTTTCTATTCCAATCTACACAATATCGCTCAACAAGACATCTACGTGATGAACGCCGACGGTGCCAACATTGTCAGACTGACTGATGACCCAGCTCCAGACCGTCTTCCTGCCTGGTCTCCCGATGGACAGTGGGTCGCCTTCATGTCATCTGTAAATAGAACAGGGTGGGACATTTACGTCGTAAACGCTAATGGAGGGGATAAGATACGGGTTACGACACATCCGGACGCTGATACACGCCCGACCTGGGTGATTCCCGACCGGTCGCTCCCTGTTGATACACGAGGCAAGCGTGTTACATTTTGGGGGCGGTTGAAATCAAAGAAGTGATGAAGGACAATCGCTGCTGGGGGAGTTGTGAAAGCCATTGCTACTTAGAAGGAATTTTGAATAACCCCAAGCTTGATTACAAATCCGAGCAACATAGCACTCCCTTGATTGAGAGGGTCATGTGTTGGAAAGCAGTATGAACGCTAAGAAAAAAGGGAGCCAAACATGAAAATCTCACTGTTGAAACGAACCTTGCAGCCTCTCTGCCTGATTGTAATGCTAGGCCTTGTGCTAATGTCGGCAGGTCCATCACAATCGCTTGATTCAATGATTGCTTTTTCTTCGGACCGTCAAGGTCATGATGATAATCATGACATTTTTATAATGATGGCGGACGGGTCTCGGCCCCAAAATCTCACGAAAAATCCCAAATCATGGGATTTCCTGCCTGCTTGGTCTCCAGACAGGAGAAAGATTGCTTTTACCTCAGCGCGTGATGGAAACTATGAAATTTATGTCATGAACCCTAACGGTGAAAACCTCGTCAGGCTGACCAGAACCCCCGAAATTGATGCCGCGCCTCGCTGGTCTCCAGATGGGAGAAAAATTGCGTTTGAGTCAGATCGCGATGGAAACCCTGAGATTTATGTCATGGATGCCGATGGCGAAAATCCCGTCAGGTTGACCAGAGAACCAGCAAGGGACGTTGTTCCTTGCTGGTCTCCAGATGGGAGAAAAATTGTTTTTGCGTCAAACCGCGATGGAGACCTTGAGGATCTTGAGATTTATGTCATGAACGCTGATGGTGAGAATACCATCAGATTGACCAGAGACCCAGCATGGGATGGGGCACCTAGCTGGTCTCCAGATGGGACAAAGATTGCGTTTGAGTCAGATCGCGATGGAAACCCTGAGATTTATGTCATGGATGCCGATGGCGAAAATCCCGTTAGGTTGACCAGGGACTTCGCAAAGGACGGGGCACCCAGTTGGTCTCCAGACGGAACGAAGATTGTCTTTAGGTCAAACCGCGATGGAAACCCTGAGATTTATGTCATGGACGCCAGCGGTGAAAATCCGACCAATCTCACCCAACACCCGGCAGAAGATGAAGTGGCTTCGTGGTCCCCAGGTCAATTGGCAGTTTTTCCGAAGGCAAGGTTACTGACACTATGGGGGAAAATAAAAACCACCCAAGGAGATGGAAGATAAGCACTCCACAAAATCTCATGCAGATCCCTATGGGTAGAATCACTTCTATAACGTATAGTGGAATCCACCTGCTAAGTGTAATTCTTGCAACGGTTCTTTGAGTCTCTCATCTCTACCGATTGGCTGAAAAGGATTTCATCGGTCCCGATTCAGCAAGGATTATACGACTTTACTACGAAGGGAGGAGAAATCAGAGTGAAAAAAGTTCTGTTTGTTACATTCATTGCGGTAGGATTTGGATGCATCGGAGGGTTTGGTTCTAAAGCGAATCTTGCTTGGGGATCCCAAATTGTCTTTATATCACGCGAATTGAACCCTGATGGGGGAATTGTTGTCATCAATTCGGATGGAACCGCTCCCCAGCCCTTAAAAAGCCCCCCTAATGCAAATTGGCCAACTTGGTCACCCGACGGAAAAAAATTACATTTATTGCTGATTTGGGCCAACTTTTCGTGATGGATGCAGACGGCCGTAATCTGGAACGCTTAAGATGGAATATGCCTTTAAAGGCACGTCCTGCCTGGCACCCTGATGGGACGAAAATTCTCTTTACAAGATTCGAGGGACTGATGGTTTTTGATCTTGAAACGAAAATAGAAACCCAAGTGTTCTTCAACGGGCGGGATAACGGTTTCCGGGACGCTGTTTGGTCGCCGGATGGAAAACAGATTGCATTCACAATCCAGCATGACCGGCAACACGACATCTACATCATCGACGTCGATGGAGGCAAATTACTTCGGTTGACCGATAATGCGTCCAATGATGCCGCGCCAGTTTGGTCTCCTGATGGGCGTCAAATTGCCTTCTACTCAGATCGAAATCTTAAACCGGGCATCTGCCTCATGGATGCAGCAGATGGGGCAAATTTCAAACGCATCAGCTTTCGTGGCGAACATTATCCGTCATGGCCGCCAACAGGAACACATATTGCCTTTTGGTTGTTTTTGGAGGGTAAAATCGGTGTGATGAGAGTCAATGGCGGGGAGCGGCAAATTCTATTTCGTGGCGGGCAGCCATCTTGGCGGCCTGATGGTCCAGCAGCGGTAAATCCTGTGAGGAAATTGCCTGTAGCCTGGGTGCAGGTCAAATTAGGATTATGATTCCAACCAGTCGCATTGAAGTCATTCCCCAATATACAAATCCGAACACCACCAACAACGGGATAACAAACATCACTCCTACGCGGCTTATCCAACGGACTACAGTTCTGCCTAGGTCAAACAACACTGCTTGTACTTCTTGCCACTACCACAGGGACAGGGCGAATTGCGACCAACTTTCCGCGTGGCTGCTACCGGCTTGGGACGCAGCAATGGCATAATGCTGTCGGTGGGGCGTCCAGCCTGTAGCGCCGCAGTATGAACTAGGCAAATTAGCTGTACATCACGGTACGTTCGGTTTTTTCAATTCCCCCCACGTTGTGATCCGTTTTCCAATAGCCTCCACAGCATACACGAAACCGGGCCTGACCCAATCCGCTTCATATGCCTCTTCCATCCATAGCGTTATGGTTTCGTTGGGGATATCGATCAGGTAGAGCGAATGCTGGTGATCCTTCTCTCCTACTGACTCTCCTACTGATAAGATGAGTTGCGACCCGTCTGGTCCCCAAACCAATGGACCAAAAACCCAATTCTTTTGGAATGCTCCCGGTAATACGAATACATGTTTTTGTAAAGTGTCAAGATTCATCAATGACATTCTAAGGTCTCCTAGAGCTGTTGGTTCTCTTGCTTCTCTCGCACTAAAAAGAAGGTTGTTCCCTCCCGGCGACCATACAGGATTTGACCAATTTACAAGTTCGTCAGTCTTTAACGGGGTTGGCATATCCCCATCAATCCGAATCTTCATTAAACCCGCCGAATTTTGCTCTTCGACGACGTAAATGAGATGTTGACCATCGGGTGACCAAGCCGGACGATTCCAAGCTAGCACAGATGGTAGGAGCGGGTTCGAGCGGACAATCAGGTTTTCGTTGTGACCTTGTGGATCCGTGATATAAAGTCCCCAACCCTCATCGTCTGCAGACACAAAAGCGAGCCATCTGCCATCTGGGGACCAAGCCGGCGGTCCATCAAACTGGCGCCCATGGTGCGTGACCTGTTGGACATTTTGCCCATTTGTGTCCATCGTGTAGATTCTGGTTGCGCCATTTCGATATGAGAGGAAGGCAATTTTGTTTCCGTCTGGAGACCAAGAGGGCGCGTAGTTTCTGCCGGGTTCAAACGTGAGTCGCTGCGGGTTTTGACCGTCCGCCTCCATTATAAAGATTGCACCTTCATCTTCCCCTACCTCTCGGTCAAACACAATTTGTTCTCCGTCAGGCGACCAACTTGCCCACACTTCCATCTCTGGTGTTTGTGTCAAATTTATTATATTTTCGCCATTGTTATCCATGACGAAGATGTCACTCCATTCAGGTCCTGGACCGACGAGAGATAGCGTGACAAATAGGATTTTCTGTCCATCGGGGTGCCAAGCTAATGGGATCCTTTCCTTATCACCTCCAGATGTCAAAGCGGTTACACTCTCTTTGGTCAGATCCATCATGTAGATTTGCAGTGGATTTTGCGGCAGATGTATGGTTACGAGGGCATCGATGTATCCGATTTGATTGCGTTTCGGTGACCAAGCGGGGAGGAATGCAAATGGGTCTTGTGAGATATTAATAACGTTATTTCCATTATCGTCAATGATAAATATCCCTGAACTATCTCTGGTATCCTGATAATATAGGATATGGTTACTATCGGGAGCCCAACTGGGATGAGAAATCCACGTTGGGGGATCTGGTTGAAGGATATGTCGAATATGGCGTTCTTCAGTGTCCATCACACAAAGATCCGTTTTTAAGTCTTCTGGGGTGTCTGTAACCATGATAAACAGGATTTTCTGTCCATCAGGTGACCAGTCTAGGCTTCCGTATCCAATATCCTGTTTGACATTGTGGGTCAACTGCTCAATTCGGCGTTTCGCAATGTTCAGTTTGAGAATATTTGCTGCGCGTGCCGGGGGTTAGAAACAAATATAACTCCAGTACCATCCGGTGAAATTGAAGGCGAACTCGTAAACAAAGCCCGGGTGAGTTGAAGGGGGCGTCCATCTAGACCTTCAACTAAGAAGACCTCAGGAGTACCCCAGCGTTCGGAAACGAAGACAATTTTATCTTCCAATTCTCTTGCGTGCACAGATACGTCAATTAAAATCAGAAGCGCGATACACGGAAAAGCTAAAAGTTTCCTTTCCATATTTGCTTCCTCACAAGGTGTTGCAAGCAAGTTCACCTCTCAGGTGAGGCTTTCGTACATCGAAATCTATCGTATCGTGTTGGTAGTGTTCCTTCCCATCATACCGATAAACTGCCTTCCCGGATTAACCTATTTCAAACAACACTGCTTATACTTCTTGCCACTACCACAGGGACAGGGCGAATTACGCCCAACTTTCTGCGTGCTTGCTACCGGCTTGGGACGCAGCAGTGGCATAATGCTGTCGGCGGGACGACCAGCCTGTAGGGCCTCAGCCATCATTTTCATCGGTCGGTCGATATGGTTGAAGAACTGCTTATAGCCCGCACAGAGATAGTTCAGACCATCTTCGCCGCTCGGTGTCTTGATAAAGCGGTTCTTTGGACATCCTCCGTTACAGACGAAACGGACCTCGCAGTCTAGGCAATACTGAGGCAGGGTGTCCCGCTTGTCGGTTCCGAACTTCTGCTGGAATGTCGATTCGACCAATGCTTCCATCGGCGAGTCCATGACATTTCCGAGGAAGTATTCTGGATCAACGTAGTGATCGCAGGAGTAGAGGTCGCCGTTATGTTCGATCGCCATTGCGTTTCCGCAGGTCTCGTTGAAAATACACAGACTCGGTTGATAGCCCAACCAGGCTTCTAACGCGACATCGAAGATCTGGACAAAGATCTTCCCAATATCGTTGACAACCCACTCATCGAAGATAGCGCAGAGGAATTTACCGTACTGAGCTGCACCGACCGTGCGGTCAGTCACACCTTTCTCATCCACGTGCTCGACAGCAGGGATAAACTGCATAAATTGAGTGCCAAGTTCTTTGAAGTAGCGGTACACCTCAAGCGGATAATCTGCGTTGTGGCTGTTTACGACACAGAGAATATTGTAATCCACCTGATGCTTCTGTAGGAACCGCAATCCCCGAAGGACATCATCGGAGGAGGGTTTGCCTCGTTTATCGTAGCGGTATTTATCGTGCAATTCAGGGGGACCATCTATGCTAATACCGATTAGGAAGTTGTTCTGCTTGAAGAACGTGCACCACTCGTCATTCAGGAGTGTCGCATTGGTCTGGAATGTATTTTGGATGCGCGTCCCGACCCGTCGATATTTCTCCTGATATTCGACAGCGCGCCGGAAAAAGTCAACCCCCATCAGCGTTGGTTCGCCCCCCTGCCAAGCGAAGGTTATCTCATTGACCTGCTGCGATTCGATATATTGACGTACATAATTTTCCAAAACCTCGTCGGTCATCCGAAATGACCGTGTATTGGGATAAAGGTTCTCTTTATCTAGATAGAAGCAATACTCACAATCCAAATTACAGATTGCCCCAATCGGTTTTGTCATCACATGAAACGCACGCGGTGCTTTATATTCAATCATTTTTTCACCTTCTTCTGGGTCGTAATCATCGCTACATTGAAAACCGACCGCTCGTAGCCGCGCGATGGACGATTCACAATGCTGTCAAGCCCCCATAGCGCGGATGAACCCCCGCCATCAAAGTTTATTGCGTGTTTCGCTCCGAGGTCCCGCAAAAAACCAGCCATCTCATAAAGCGTCATGCCGATACTATATCCGTATTGACGACCGTCCACTGCAATCAGAATAGTTTATCATCGTTAAACCCCAACGCGCTCCGCGGGTTCAGCCTCGCCCCGTTGCGGTGACGATAATTGGATCTGCCGCCTGACTGGTGAAATTCCACAAGCTCCGGTTCAATTTTTCCATTCCGTAAGAGACGGAGATTTCCCCCAATTCCATCGGGGACTCGCTGCCATTTGGTGGGTGAAAGCGCGATTTCGAGGGTGCCTGTTCCACCCGCCCTGAATGTGGCATCCCATTTTACCGCTAATTGATAGTCGAGTGCCAACACAACTCCGTTGGAAGGAATTGTGCTGTTGCCCCGCCGATTGACCGCATCAATCTTGAAATGGCTTCGATACCTGCCCGTAAGTGGCAATTCGAGTCCCTTGAGGACAACCTCATAGCTCCTTTGTGCAAGGGTCTGCTCCCCAAATCGGGGTGTGTAGAGCACGGCAGCACAGTCGGACTCAGGAATCTGATTAATACAATCGACTTCGAGCGATTCTCCGTTGATATGGATAGTCCCATTTAATTCAACAGCGTCAAGTAAAAATTCGCCATCGGTTGTTACACCGAAACTGGTTTCACCCCAAGGGGAAGGCGGTGGAAAGCCCCACCAATCGCGTCGGGGCGGAATGCTGACCAATTCCCAATCTTGGATATGAAGGTTAAAGATGACCCCTCCGCGCCCTACCCGATCTCCACGGTGACCGAAACTCCCATTGACGCCAGCTAACAACGGGATATCTTGTTGTGCGAGCCGTCCCGCCATGCTGCTGATTGTCTCCCTGCCCAAGAGACGGGTGTTGGCAAGTTCAACTCCAAAGCGAAGATCTTTAGATTCGCGCCTCATTTCGGCGACATAAACCGCTGCATCCCGCTCTTTCCACCAATCACGATAGATTCGCAATCCTTGAGTCCAATCCGATTTTTTAAGGTAGTCCCGTTTTTTGGACGCAGGATTTGGACGGTCAGGGGACGGCTTACTGATGAGTCTGGATATAACGGAAGCGAACGCGGAATCGGTGTTGGAGTTCGGAGTTGTCACTCGTAACGCACCTATCCCCAAAATCAGAAGGAGGGTTACTCCCCAAACGATGGCGATTTTGATAAAGTAAGTGCGTTGATTGCCCTTTTGCATCTGCAATTGTCCTCGCTATCCGATCGAAACTCGACCATCACATCATTTTTTACATAGACTATAAATACTATTGTCACAAATGGTGTGGCAATCTGTCAAGAATAAACGCAATCTAGTCCTCCATTGCTTCCACCAATAGTCCATGATGTCACGAAAGTCCTTTGACTCCAAGAGGATTCTAAAGTAAAATAGTATGTATCAATCAATAAATATCGGACAAATGGAGGGATTCCAATGAAATATCGAACATTTGGGCAAACAGGTCTCGAAGTTTCAGAAGTCGGGATAGGCGCGTTTCCGATCTCTGGTCTACAACAACAGGCAGATGGCACGCGGACAGGGTGGACAGGGACCGACGAGCAGCAGTCAATCGCACTCATCCATCGTGCGGAAGAACTTGGCGTGAACCTTATTGATTCCGCAGAGAGTTACGGTGCAGGGCACAGTGAGGAGATTGTTGGACGAGCGTTGCAGGGGAGGCGGGATAAATGGGTTATCGCCACCAAAGTCAGCCCAAACGGCGGCTTGGATGCGAACGATCCGGATCTGCCAGCGCAAGCGAAAAACCGAATCGTTGAAGCGGTCGAAGGGAGCCTGAAACGGCTGAATACAGATTACATCGACATCTATCAACTTCATGCGATTCCGCTGGAAGGGGCGATGCCGGCTGTCATGGAGGCACTGGCACAGTTGCGGGATGAGGGCAAAATCCGTTGGTACGGCGTTTCAACCAATGATCGGGAGGCGATTGATAAACTTCGAGGGTTGGGCGAGATTCACATGCTACAGATTGGCTACAATTTGCTTGAGCGCGATGCAGACGACCTGCTGCATTTCGCCAAGCAGGAGGGCATCGGCACGCTCATCCGCGTTCCGTTGGCGAAGGGGATGTTGACAGGCAAATATTTCCAGAGCAGCGAAATCCCGAAAGAGGATATACGTTATGAGCGTTTTAATCAACCGGGATCAATTGATGCCTTCCAAAAACTACCGGTGCTCAATTTCCTCGCAGAAAACACAGGGCGCACAATGGTTCAAGCGGCGCTACGTTTTACACTTGACCACCCCGGCACCTCTTGCGTCATCGCCGGTGCGAAAACAATGCAACAGATTGAACAAAACGTAGCTTCCGTCAATGTGCCGCCGCTCACTGAATCTGAACTTCAAAGGGCATTCGCTATTGCTGATGCCATTGATACGCCTAATTGGAGCGCGAACTGATTCATCAAATCTTCGGGATGGAAACCCCTTGCTTTAGCATGGGGTTTCCATTCCGCCTCCTTTTTTTCGTTTTTGTAATCTACCTTACACTTTTTTGGTAGATGTATGGTAGAATATAGTTTGTAACTCGAGGACTTCAGTTGAACGCTCGTTTAACACTGCCCTCTCACTTCTGAGGTTCACTAGTGAACCGCGTGAAAGGCAGTTTGTCTGAGGTTTCACCCGGGTGTTGAAGCGATGCTATCACCGATACATCGTGAATATGCCTAAACGGATGCTATAGCCGTGCGGTGGCGGGTGTGTAAAGTTACGAGCCAGAGCCGCATAACCGCGCTATCTTTTAGGTGCAACGCACCGAGATAGCGTCGCGGGCAAGATAATTGCCCAAGCGTAAGTCCCGTTGGACAGGCTACAAGCCTCGTCCTTCAGGGCGGGGTAGTTGACCAGGAGAATCTAACAAGCAATCCTATTTCTCAAAACGTGCCAACCGAAACGGACTGATGTCGAAACTTGTTGTACCCTCAAGCGCCGTTTCCGAAAGTATGCGTCCAACAAGGCTGGCGAACTTGAAACCGTGCCCGGAAAACCCAGTTGCTAAAACAAGATTCGCGCAATCCGGGTGCGTGTCAATAATGAAATCCTCGTCGGGCGTTTCCGTGTAGAGACAGACCTGTGCAAAAAGTGCCTCGCCGGCAGCATCGGGGATGCGTTCACGCATAAAAGAACGGAGGTGCTCGATGTACTCAGGATCGGGCGTACGATCACACGCATCGGGAGACACCGGCTGCCCCATGCCGTGCCGCGCAACCTTTATGCCCTCACGTCCGAACACGGGGAATCCATACAAAACCTCATTCCACGTTACATCGAGGAAAATCGGGAATCTGCCCCGCTGAAACAGACTCGCATCGGTTGGTCGATAATAAACAACCTGCTGCCGTGTTACGGTCAACGGGAGATTCAGTTCACTGAGAATCTGTCCGCTCCACCCTCCCGCAGTCACAATCACTTTTTTCCCTTGAAAGCGTTCATCTTTTGTAATCACTTCGGGATGTGTTCCCTGCCAGTTAATCTCTATTACCGGCGTGTCCTCCCGAACCTCCGCTCCGTGTGCTTCGGCGAGTTGCAGGTAAGTCAAAACACACCCTGACGCATACAGGAAACCGGTGTCCTTCTGCCACAGAACGTCCACGCCGTCTCCGATCCTGAATTGTGGGAAGCGGTCTGCCAATTGTCTTTGGTCCCACCATTCAGATTCGACGCCGGCAGCGTCGAGGCTCACACGCATATCGCGGAGATAATCGTGTCCTCTCGGTCCAATCACCACGCTGCCAGTTGTGAACAGCAGATCTTTCCCCGATGCCTTTTCCACTTCCCGCCATTCTGCATAGGCATACTTCATCAATTCTGTATAGAACTGCTTCTCGTAGATCAGGCGGATGATACGGTTATCTCCGTGAGAGCTGCCGAAGGTATGTCCACGGGAGAACTGTTCCAACACCAGCGTGCTTGCCCCCGCCTTAGCGAGATAATAGGCTGTCGCACTGCCCATTACCCCTGCCCCGATAACAATGGCATCATACATTTTTTTGTCTCCCGACACAGTGATACATGAAGCGAAAATTGGGAAATTCAGATTGTAAGTCGTTTCGTCGACCGATCTTCGATTCTTATGTTCCCAATCAGTTATTTCAGCGGAAATGGTTTGGGGAGTTCGTCAAAATTCTTCTCTCTGTTTTCGCCACGCAACAAAATCGCCGACCAATTATGCCCCAGTGAGTTCTTTTCAACCTGCTTGACCCAAGGCGGAACGTAACGAACTGTCAACCCACAACGCCGCCGTGTGGATTGATTGGGCAGGCTTCCATGAATCAACGTGCCGCGATGGATTGAGATTTCGCCCGCCTTCAAAACTAGATCTACGGCGTTTTGCTCTTCAGCCTCGCTGACCGGCACTTCCTGATCGATGCTCAAAAGATTGCCTTCCTGCCCAGATTTCCCATGATCCCGAATACCGGGGCGGTGGGTGCCGGGAATCACACGCATACAACCGTTCTCGCAGTCACTGTCATCAATCGCATACCACGCGGTAATCGCTTCGGGTGGCTCAAGTCCCCAATAGGTTACATCCTGATGCCATGCCACAAACTTTTTTTGGTCGGGACCATATTTGCAAAAGAAGTGCGTTGATATCATCATAACATCGGGCCCTATCAGGGCTTCGATACAGTCGAGAATCTTCGGGTGGGTTGCAATCTCCCAGATGAACTCTTCCTCAAAATGCTGGTCGACTAACCCGATCCGGCATTCCTCTCGTCCCACTCTGGCTTCTAATTCGTCGAACAATTCCCGATGTTGGAGGGCTTCGGTCTTGTCCGAAATTTGAACTTTTGGAACGAAGCCTTCTGTCTCATAAGCCTTGATTTGTCCTTCGGTGAGGGACATTTTTTGCTCCTTTCATGTGTCTATCCGCGATCTGGTACACGCCATTGAGCGTACCAGCGGGAATCCTGCGATGGTCCTTCATCATCGCTCCAGCGACTTTGCATACTTTCAAACCCCTTCAGTTGTGGACGAACATCGCGTTCCCATATTTCCTCAATCTGATCGAAGGTGAGCGGCTTGCGCTCCGGCGTTGGTTCAGCGTAGGCATCAAGAAGTTCTTTCGCTTTGGCACCAAGCCACTGGACTTCATCGGCGACCATTCGCTCGCCAACTCGACGATCCGATTCGTGTGCGGTCGGTCCCATAGCGAAATGGGGACCCGGCGCATCTTGCGCTGGTAGGCGTGAAACATCAACGCAATCCGGCTCCAATGCCCAGAGCAGCGAGGTCTCAACTTTACCGGCATGATCGCCTCCGCTTTTGCCATCGCCATCGAAACCGGGCTGATTCGCCTCAAAATCTGGCAAACCGTACAGCTGCATACCAAAATGTGGTTGGAGGATTTCAAGCAAAGTTTTAAGATCTTTCCAGTTGGGACCGTAGTGTCCCGTCAAAAGGATGGCGGCATGAAATCCCAAGGCATCCGCCGCCCGGACGTGGTAGCAGATGTTCTTGAAATGCATCCATGCAGGCATCGCGGTCAGCCACGGACGGACTTCCCCAACGGTTCGATTTGCCCAGAGTGCATAACCGCCATGTTCGTGGATGTGCCAGTAATCGGGTGGAGCAACAATGCCGCCATGCTCATGGGCTGTTCGGCTCGCAATCGCATGTGCTTTCAAAGCGTCAAGCCCGACCGCGTTCTGGGGACCGTGGGGTTCGCACAAGCCGTAGCAAAAATAGACAACAGGACATTCCTCTAACGCAGCTTCAAGTTCATCGGGGAACATCCGTTCCCAGCGCACTTCTCTTTTCATCGTGGTTTCCTTTTGTATTGTGTGCTAATGTAAAAATATGATTCCCTGTGGCACTTGCGATATAAAGTTGTATCATTGTTGCCACAATCTTTTCAGATTCAATTTCTGTTTACTACATTCAATTTAAGCGGTTTTATAAGGATTCTACTCTACTTCGACAGAACTGAATTATGGCATCTTAATTGCGTGTATCAGGCAGATCCTTGCCGAAAAAGATTTTATGATAACTTGGCGGGGCTGTCAATCACAATCTACAGCAGGCAGATCGTGAGCATAATAGATCATGACTTTTCGCTTGGCAGTAGGTGTGTCCTATGATATACTCAACATATCTTTTTGAGTCTATCTATGAACAAATTATGAAAGGAAGGATGACCATGAACAGACTCGTTCTCTCTGTCACACTCCTGCTGGCAGCAATTGTCCTCGCAGGGTGTTACACGCAGATTGGTTACTACGAGCCACGTCCTCTAACCACCCGACAAACCTCCTATCATCACCAAGACAAGCACCAACGCGAAGATGGGGACGAAAAGATGGAATCCGAACAGGAGCCGCAAGAAGAAGTTGAGGCGGAAGGGGAACCGGCTGAAGCAGAAGATGAAGGGTACTACGGTCGTCGCAAACCGAGCTACGGTTATTCTGATCGTTATTCTCGGTCTTACTACGACGACGACTACTATCCCGTCTATCCATACTACTATGGTGGCTATCATCCCCTGTATCCCTATTACAGATATTCCTATCCATATTATTCATATTATGGACACTACCGCTATTATGGGGGTTATGGGTATCGTCCTTCTCGATATCGCTACTCAACGCCACGCTCCAAGATTGGTGATTTGAATTTTGGCAAACGACGTTCGCAAAGCTCTCGGGGAGTCAGATCCCGCCACCCGTCTTCGAGTCGTCCGGATAGGTCATTGAGGAAGAGTGAAGAGAGTAAAGCTCCTGCCCGCAGTTCGTCTGGGTCACGGCGCGATAGATCCCGAAGATCCGGAAGGAGGTAACAATCCAATGAAAAGATTGATGAGAACCGCTATTGCTTTGGCGTTGATGTTTACCTGTTTTGTGTTAGGGAGTAGCATCGGAGTTGCACAGGAGGAGGAGATTGCCATCGGTAATACCTTTGGTCTTGGTGCAAGGACGATGGGGATGGGAGGAGCGTTCCTCGCTGTTGCGGATGATTTCACGACGCTTTACTGGAACCCGGCGGGGGCTCGCCCAGATTAAAAAGTTTGAGTTATTTGGCAGCCTATCACACGGCGAACGGGGTGTAGAAACAGAGTTCACCCGCGGTCGTGCTACCGAAGCCGACAGTTCAAAAACCCGTCCCAATTCGATTGGCTTGGTCTACCCTTTATACGCAAATCGTGGCGGATTTGCGTTCGCACTCGGGTATAATCGTCCCCAGAATTTTGATTCAGAGGCTACGATTCAAGGACTGGATCCGTCTTCCAATTTGGATTTTAGCGGATTTGATGTGGATGAAATAACTTCTAACAGCGGTGGCATGGGTATCTGGAGTTTTGGGATGGGTGTCTTTATATCAAAAAATATCTTGCTTGGCGGCTCAATAGACTTTTGGCACGGCTCAAGTTTCAACGAGTTAGATAGCGCGGCGGAGGACATCAATAGCATTGACCCAGAAATAGAAAGTCTCGCTTTTCACGACACTGTAGATCGAGACTATTCAGGACTCGGTGGCAGAGTCGGCGTGCTTGCTTTCGCAGGGGAAAATATGACACTCGGTGGAACTGTTACACTACCAGTAGACCTTGAGGTCAACGAGCTATGGGAGCAACAAACGATAGTGCGATTCGACGATGGTGACGAGATTGTGGATGGTGATGGTGGATCAATCCTGTTTGATATTGAACGCCCGTTCGAGTTCGGCGGAGGTGTTGCTATCAAACTCTTAGAGAAGCGTCTGACGCTTGCCAGCGATATCCAGTTTACGGACTGGACGCAGACGGAATATAGCCTGCCGCCAGTAGAAGATATTCCGCAGAACAACTTCAGTCGGTATTATGACAGCACTATACAGGTTCGCCTCGGTGCGGAATATCGTATACCGGTCATTGAGACCAGTGCGCGCGTCGGTTACTTCCGCGATCCAATTCCATTCCAAGGTAGAGATATAGACAACGATCGAGACTTTCTGACGATCGGGGTAGGCAAGGTTTTCGACCAGATTATCAAAATTGACATTGCCTACATGCGAGGTTCATGGGCGCAATCAAGCAATTCGCTTTCAGAAAGTCAAACCTCCAACCGGGTGTTTGTGTCTGCGAGCTATCGATATTGAAGGTTGCTATGACGAAGGACAATTGAACCGCTTGATTGAGTTTTTGGTATAACTTGAGCCAAGCATAAGAGCATAAAAAAAGGCGTTGATTGAAAAATCAACGCCTTTCTTTATGCCTTCATAAGTATCTGCACTATTCTACCAATTGGATATACCCCATCTGAGCAGCATCGCTACGTCTCAACTCACCTCTGATTATACGGGTATACCCACCACTACGGTCTTGATAACGGGGGCCAAGATCATCGAACAATTTTCGCAAAACGCCGTGGTCGTGGATAACCTTGGCAGCCTGACGGCGCGCATGTAAATCCCCTCGTTTAGCGAGCGTAATCAGTTTTTCAGCGATCCGCCTGAGTTCTTTGCACTTTGGCAAGGTTGTGCGAATCTGTTCGTGCTCGAATAATGCAGTGGCTTGGTTGCTAAACAACGCCTTGCGATGCGCGCTTGTTCTCCCAAGCTTCCTTCCCATTTTCCGGTGACGCATGACTATTCATCCTCTCAATTATCGTTGCCAAGGGTTATCCCTAAAGAAAGTCCCATCTCCGAAAGAATGTCCTTAATTTCGTTCAGGGATTTTCTGCCGAAATTACGAAATTTCAACATCTCTTGCTCAGTCTTGATCACGAGGTCTCGGATGGTTGTGATCTTCGCAGCTTCCAGACAATTGGCGGATCGCACCGAAAGTTCGAGTTCCGCAACAGGCTTCGATAGCCATTTCTCACGCTGGAGTTCTTCTTCGTTGACTTCCTCGACTGGTTCCACGTAGGTTTCATCGAAATCGCTAAAGAGCCTAAATTGCTCTAGCAAAATGCCCGAGGCTTGTGTAACCGCTTCTTTCGCAGTGATACTCGCATCTGTCCACACTTCTAGGATAAGCCGGTCATAGTCCGTCATGTGTCCAACCCGTGTTTCTTCAACCACGAAATTGACTTTTCTAACTGGTGAAAACTTGGAATCGACCGGGATAACTCCGATCTGTTGATTATAGTTCAGATGCTCTTCCCCGAACTCATATCCTCTGCTTCGACAAACTTGGATTTCCATATTCAAACCATCGCACTTGTCGAGCGTTGCAATATGTTGGTCCGGGTTGATGATTTCAACCTGTCCGTTCGGTTGAATATCTGCTGCTGTAATGTTGCCGGAGCCTTCTGCGGATAAAACCAAGGTGATAACCTCATCCGTATCAACTTGGAGTCGAATTTCTTTAAGGTTAAGAAGAACCTGAGTAACATCCTCTTTCATCCCGTCAAGCGTCGAGAACTCATGCTTCACTCCATCAATAGCAACAGCTATAACAGCCGCGCCTTGAATCGAAGAAAGCAGGACACGTCGAAGCGAGTTACCAATAGTCGTTCCAAATCCTCGCTCAAGCGGTTCAGCGATAAATTTCCCATAATCAGGCCGCAGGTTCTCAAGATCCGTAATGAGGTGTTTTGGCTTGGTGATTTCCCTCCCTGTCATCTATCTTACCCTCCTACAAGTGGCTGTGTTATTTGGAGTAAAGTTCAACGATCAACTGTGTTTGGAGGTCTGTGGCAAGTTGTTCGACGTTTGGCAACATCCTAACAACTCCCTCTTGTTTGTCGATATCCAACTCAAGCCAATCTGGTGTGCCCCGGTGTTGAGAACGTTCTAATGCTTCTTGAATAACTGCCGCGTTACGACTTTTCTCGTGCGTTTGAATAACATCGCCGGGTTGTATCAGGTAAGAGGGAATATTGACTCTTTTTCCGTTCACAAGGAAATGGTTATGCGCAACAAGTTGCCGAGCCTGCAAGCGTGAGTTGGCAAAACCGAGACGGTAAACCACGTTGTCCAACCGACGCTCCAATAATGTCAGCAAATTCTCTCTTACAACACCTTTCTGATGTGCGGCTTTTGTATAGTAGTTTTTAAACGGCTTTTCTAAAATGCTATAGATGCGCTTCGATTTCTGCTTGGTGCGTAATTGGCGTCCGTAATCTTTGATTTTGAGCATTTTCTGACCATGTTGACCGGGCGGATAACTACGACGCTCAAATGAACACTTCGGGGAATCGCAGCGTTGCCCCTTCAAAAAAAGTTTTTCACCTTCTCTTCGACATAACTTACATACAGAACCTAAATATTTGCTCATTACTTTTATGGTTAAATTAGGACCATTTCCCCTTTCTTAAAATCCCAATTTTCAAACGTTAAACGCGCCGCCGTTTGGGCGGTCGACAACCGTTATGAGGAATTGGGGTTACGTCTTTCATTGCGGTAATTTCTAGTCCAGCTGCTGAGAGGGATCGAATTGCAGATTCTCTGCCGGACCCTGGTCCTTTGACCCTTACCTCAATCCGCTTCATGCCATGCTCCATCGCTTTCCTAGCGCAAGTTTCCGCTGTTTGTTGGGCAGCAAATGGCGTGGATTTCCGAGAACCGCGAAAGCTGCTACCTGCACTTGCCCAAGCGACTGTATTCCCGTTGAGATCGGTAATCGTAATAATCGTATTATTAAAGGTTGCTTGGATATGCGCAACTCCTTCAGAAATATCCTTTCTTTCTCTCCTCCTTGGACGGTTGGAGGAATCTGGATCTTGCAAAACTGATCTCCTTTCTGAAACTCAATGCACAAGTGGCATTAACCAACCTTGCGCGCTGCTTCTTTTGCCTTTCTTCCGACCGAAATAGTTTTTGCTTTCCCTTTGCGCGTCCGCGCATTAGTGCTCGTCCGCTGTCCCCGTGCCGGTAACTGCCGGCGGTGGCGCAACCCACGATAACTATTGATGTCCATCAACCGTTTGATATTCAACTCGATTTCGCGTCGTAAGTCTCCTTCAACCTTGCAATCTTGGTTAATCGTTTCTCTTAACCGGCTGATTTCAGACTCATCAAGATCTTGGGACTTTTTAGCGGGGTCGATATGTAAATCCTCGACCATTTTTGAAGCGGTATGGTGCCCAATCCCATAAATATAGGTCAGGGCAATGTCAATCCTTTTCGTTCGGGGTAAATCAACACCAGCAATTCTTGCCATGTCTTTCTCCTCCTTGCGCGCTAGGTAAAGTGCTTAACCTTGTCTTTGCTTATGCTTTGGATCCGCAGAGCAGATAACGCGGATAACACCTTTTCTTTTGATAACCTTGCACTGATTACACATTTTTCTTACTGAGGCACGGACTTTCATCATCTCTCCTTCACTGAAAAATGAATCCTATCTTGAGCGACGTCCTCTTACACGCCTGTCCTTCAGAAATCCTTCGTAATGTCTCATCGTCAAATAGGATTCAATTTGCGACACTGTATCTAATACGACTCCCACAACGATTAAGATTGCGGCACCACTGATTAATGCCCCAGTGCCTAGCCATCCTTGCAGAAGTAAGGGGAAAACCGCAATCGCGGCGAGAAATACCGCACCGGGTAAAGTGATTCTAGTTAAAGTATCGTTAATATAGTCTGCGGTCTTTTTCCCCGGACGAATGCCCGGAATAAATCCACCATACTTCCTCAAGTCATCCGCCATTTGCACGGGATTAATCTGAACAGCTGTGTAAAAGTATGTGAAACCGATAATTAAGAGGGCGTAGATCACCCAATATAAGGGGCTACTCGCGCTGAAGGCTGCTATTAATCCCCCAATCCATGCCCATGAGGGAAATTGACTTTGCAAAAGGCTTAGAACCGTTGAAGGGAATTGTATCAGCGTAACAGCGAAAATAATCGGAATCATACCAGCCGCATTGACACGCAGCGGGATATGCGTTGCCTGTCCACCCATCACCTTACGTCCTACGACCCGCCGTGCATACTGGACAGGAATTTTGCGGACACAGAAGGTGATGTACACGGTTCCCATAATCGCCACAACTCCCAAGGCGAGGAAGATGACCAGTTTCGGAAGGTCAATTTGACGATTAAGGAGTTGATTGGATATTGTTTGGATTCCGCCCGGCATGCCCGAGAGGATCCCAATTGTAATAATTAGGGAAATGCCTTGACCAATTCCCCGTTCTGTAATTTGTTCGCCGAGCCACATGACGAACGATGTGCCAGCCATCAAGGTAATCATGGTTAGCAAAGTCCACCAGATACCTGGATTCGTCACAATTTCAATGTTTTCACTTCTAATAATGCTTCCGGGTCTTTGCAACACCAGGCTAATCATGATGCCTTGAATAGCACTGAGAATAACAGTGGCATAGCGTGTATATTGGGTAATCTTTTTCCGTCCGTCCGGCTCTTTGGAAAGTTTCTCAAGGAAGGGGATAACGACGGTAAGGAGCTGCATAACGATCGACGCACTGATATACGGTTGGATACCAAGCGCAAAGATTGTCATCTGCTTGAACGCACCACCGGAAAAGATATCAACGAAGTCAAGGACACTGCCACCGGTACGACCTCTTAAGCCATCGAAAAACTTCTCTAATTCGATATCATCAATGCCAGGGAGTGTGATATGGGCACCCAATCGATAAACGATTAACATTAGTGCTGTAAAGATAATCCGCTGCCGCAGTTCTGGAATTTTGAAAGCGTTTTGGAATGCCTTAATCACTTAAATCACCTCAATGCTACCGCCGGTTGATTCTATCTTTTCGATAGCAGACTTTGAGAATCGGTGTCCCTGTACCGTTAATTGCTTTTCGAGATTACCTTCTCCAAGAACTTTGATCTTTCCGTCTTTCTTTTTTGTAATGCCGTTTTCCCGCAAAATCTCAGGAGTAATCGTTGTGCCCCGTTGTCAAAATGATTTAGTGCTTGGATGTTTACGATCTCATACTCAATCCGTTTATGTGCAATTCTTCTGGGACCACGCTTAGGCAAGCGTCTCACTAATGGCATCTGTCCCCCTTCAAACCAAGCGGGAATGGAGACACCAGAACGGGATTTCTGCCCTTTGTGACCACGACCACAAGTTTTACCCCAACCCGAACTTTCGCCACGCCCAACTCGCTTCCGATTACGCGTCGATTTTTTTGCAGGTTTGAGTTCGTTTAGTTTCATTGATATTTACTCCATTTTATGGATTGGTGATTACGATTAAAAGTTCTTGTTTGGCTTCAGGGATGAATTTCCCCGACGAATTAGGCACACACCCAATCGGGATTACAGAAAAAGAAGATTAGTCGAACAGTTCGTCGACTGTTTTTCCACGAAGACGAGCCACGTCGTTGACGTTCTTGAGACCTTTTAGGGCTTCTATGGTGGCTTCGGCTGTATTTTTTACGTTTCGAGAGCCGAGTCGTTTGGTCAGTACATCTTGCACCCCAGCAAACTCCAAAATGACTCTCGTTCCGGGGCCGGCGATAATCCCAGTACCGGGACTGGCCGGCTTGAGCAGAATCTTTGCGCCGCCATATTTCCCAACGATTTCATGGGGGATGGTGGTTCCTGATAAAGGTACGCGAATCAGGTTTTTTTTCGCATCAGCGATACTCTTACCTATAGCTGATGGGATTTCATTTGCACTCCCAAAGCCAAGTCCGACTACGCCTGATTGATCTCCAACGACAGAAAGCGCATTAAAGCTAGGTGTTCGTCCGCCTTTGCGAACACGCATCACACGGTTAATATCAATTGGGCGTTCCTCAAATTCAAATTTATCCGAGTTTATTCTTTCCCTCAAAAGCAATTCTCCTTCATTATCAAGCGTCAGCTCATTTTGCGAACACGCCTATGGCAGTTTCTCTTACAATTTTCAGAATCGGAGTCCCTCTTCTCTGGCAGCCTCGGCAAGCGCTTTAATTCTTCCGTGATAGAGATTTCCACCACGGTCAAAGACTACTGATTCAATTTGATGCTCTTTTGCTCGGCGAGCGATTAATGCACCCACTTGTTGCGCTGCACTGATGTTGCCTTGTGTTGACAGGCTATCTTTCAACTCTGATGATAGGGTTGAGGCTGCAATAAGCGTATTGCCGGCTTCGTCATCAATAATTTGGGCGTAAATATGCCTCAAACTTCTAAAAACCGAAAGCCTCGGTCTTTGCCTAGTCCCGGTTATTTTTTTTCGTACCCGTCTCTGTCGCTTATGCCTCGCGATATATTTTTCCTTAGACCGATCCAACGATTATTCCTCCAAGCATTAATAAAAAAGGATCGACAAATCCGGCTACAATAGTTTTGGCTTACCGACTTGTAAATCCTTTAGCCTACAAAAATATAGCAATTAAACCGCTACCCTACACCCCAGTTTTACCTTCCTTCATACGGACGCGTTCACCTTCGTAACGGAGCCCTTTGGAAGGTTGGTAGACTTCGGGTTTCTTGATTTGACGGATTGAAGCAGCAACCTGACCAACAATTCCTTTGTCAATACCGCTCACCGTTATTGGCGTGTGAGGTTGGCCTCCAACAGTTTCGGAATCACCTACACTCAGAGTTACACCCTCAGGAGGCGCATAGGTTACTGAGTGAGAATACCCGACATTTAAGACCAGACGGTTCTGGCGGTCTATTTCCGCACGATATCCAACGCCAACGAGGGTGAGTTTTTTTTCAAAACCTTCGGTCACACCTGTTACCATATTGGCAATGAGGCTCCGTGTCAGTCCGTGTAACGACTTGTGTGATTTCTGGTTTGTTAATCTATTAATCGTGATGAATTCATCTTCTAAACTGACTGCTATGCCTGCCGGAATTGTCCAGTTGAGAGTACCTTTTGGACCTTCAACAGTGATGTCGTTTTGGTCCAAAGCTATCTTAACTTTTGAATCCATCCTAATTGGCATCTGTCCTATTCGTGACATTGTATTCGTCTCCGAATTCAAACTGAAAAATTACCAGATATAACAGAGGACTTCACCACCAATGCCGGATTTCTTGCATTCGGAGGCTGTCTGAATACCTTGCGAGGTCGATAATATAGCAATCCCTAAATCGCCATACACACTAGGAAGCCGGTCTGCTTTCACGTACACGCGCCGTCCTGGTTTGCTAATCCTCTTGAGTCCCGTTATAACCTTTTCTTTACCTTCACCATACTTCAAATAGATACGCAAAATACCTTGTTTGCTGTCATCAATCCAACGATAATTGCGGATATACCCTTCCTCATGTAGGGTGCGGGTAATCTCCATTTTTAGTTTTGATGCGGGTATTTCGACGCGCTCATGTCTGACCATATTCGCATTGCGAACACGGGTCAGCATATCCGCAACCGGATCTGTCATTGACATCAGTTTTCTCCTTTACTCGTGCCGACAAATAAGGCACTACCAACTTGCCTTTGTGACTCCCGGAATTTTACCCGATCTTGCGAAGAGGCGAAAACAGATTCGGCAAAGATCAAACTTTCGCAGATAACCGCGGGCTCTGCCACAGGTACGACAACGATTATATTTTCGAACCTGAAACTTCGGGGTTCTTTTTTGCTTGGCAATGAGAGCTTTTGTTGCCAAATGAGGGCTCCTTTCCTCCACTGCTATTAAGGGGTAGCATACACGTGCTAAGATTCTCTAAACGGCATTCCCATTAGGTGTAGTAACTCGTGCCCTTCTTCATCAGTTGGAGCAGTTGTTCCAATAGTGATATTTAGTCCGCGAACTTCGCTTATGGTGTCGTATTCGATCTCTGGGAAAATGATTTGCTCTTGGAGACCCAAGGAATAGTTACCGCGCCCGTCAAAGGAATCCGGGGAGAGTCCACGAAAATCACGAATCTGGGGCAGGACAACATTGACCAGTTTATTAAAAAATTCATACATCCTATCCTGCCGCAAGGTTGCTTTACAGCCGATAGCCATACCTGCGCGGACCTTGAAGGCTGACACAGATTTCTTGGCGTGGGTAATAACTGCCCGCTGCCCGCTTATTTGTGTCAGTTCTTCGGCGGCATTATCCAAAAGTTTTGAATCTTGTATAGCAGCACCAACCCCTATATTGAGAGTTATTTTGTTAAGCTTTGGCACCTGCATAACATTTGGATAGTTGAAATGCTGTTGCAACGCGGGGAAGACTTCTTCTTGATAAAAAGATTTAAATGCACTCATTCATTCTTACCTTATAGATTGCGGAACTCCGTTGAGACGGGTCTCATGTCAACTAGTCGCGTTCAGCGGACTCACCACATTTTCTGCATACACGTGCATGGTATCTTTTTGTCCGCTCTCCAATTTCCTTCTCAAAGGTGCTGCGCTTTGTTCGAGTGGGTATGTTACATTTTGGGCAAATCAGCTTTAAGTTAGCGATGTTAATTGTTCCTTCTCTTTCGATGATACCACCTTGTGGTGCTTGCGGGTTCGGACGGGTATGCTTTTTAATCATGTGAACCCCCTCAACAGTGGCACGGCGTTTATGCGGAAGCATTTCTAGAATAACACCTGTTTTACCCTTATCCTTCCCGCTCAATACTAACACGTGGTCGTTTTTTCTTATGTGCAATCTAGTCTGCAACGGTACTACCTCCTGGGAGAATTTAAATGACCTCTGGTGCTAAAGAGACAATTCGTGCAAATGCTTTTTCTCTGAGTTCACGAGCAACGGGACCGAAAATGCGTGTTCCAAGAGGCTGGTCCTGGGCATCAATCAAAACGGCAGCATTCCTATCAAATTTGATATAAGAACCATCGAGTCTGCGATGTTCCTTGGTTGCACGCACTACGACAGCTCGTACAACATCTCCCTTTTCAACTTGGCTATTTGGATTTGCTTCTTTCACACTTGCCACAATTACATCGCCAACTCGTGCGTAGCGCCTTTTACTACCGCCGAGCACGCGAATACACATAAGCTGCTTTGCTCCTGTATTATCCGCACAATTCAATAGAGTGTATGCTTGAACCATTGGTTACTGCCTTCCTGAGTTTAACCCTATCTTTCACTTCACGCATCAATTGATTCTGTCTTGGAGACGACTTGGCAAACTTTCCAACGTTTACGACGGCTGAGTGGGCGAACTTCGACAACTTGGACGAGATCGCCGACATTACACATATTCTGCTCGTCGTGAGCCAGAATCTTTGTGGACCTTCTTACAATTTTCTTATAAAGGGGATGCTGATAAGCCCGAACGATTTCAACAGCAACGGTTTTATCCATCCGATCACTTGTTACAGTACCTGTTCTGAACTTACGATTTCCTCGCTGATGCTTATCCACGCTTTTCCTCTCGTAACTGTAGTTATGATGACTCTTCGATCCCAAGCTCACGTAGACGAAGAATTGTATGAATACGTGCGATATCCTTCTTGACTTTTTGTAATTGGGAGGTATCTTCAAGTTGCCCTAGTACTCTTCGGAACTTGATGTTAAACGCAGTGTCCTTAAAATCTTGAAGGTCGTTTTTTAACTCCTCAGATGATTTACTGCGCAACTCATTAGCGGTCATTGTTTGATTATTCTCCCGTTCGACTGATAAACTTTGTCTTAATCGGCAATTTGTGGGCTGCTCTGGTCATGGCTATTTTTGCTTCTGCTTCTGGGACACCGCTCAATTCATATAAAATGCGCCCCGGTTTAACAACCGCCACCCAAAACTCTGGAGCACCTTTCCCGCTTCCCATTCTGGTTTCAGCGGGTTTCTTCGTTACGGGCTTGTGCGGAAAGATTTTTATCCAAACCTTGCCACCACGGCGCACATGACGTGTAATTGCGATTCGCGCAGATTCGATTTGGCGGCTCGTAAGCCAAGCCGGCTCCATTGCTTTCAAACCATACTCGCCGAAATCTATTCGTGAACCTCGGTAAGGTTTGCCACGGCGTTTTCCGCGCTGCACTTTGCGGTGTAGAACCCGTTTGGGCATCAACATTTTGTGTACTCCTCCTGATTCATACTCGTGAACACGCGTTTACGATTCTGTATTCCCATGATTGGTTCTACGTGGTCCCCGTCGCCTATCCTGATCCCTTCTTCGTCTGGGTCTACCCGCGGATCGCGCTCCTGAACCTTCTTCCTCTGAAAAGCGTGATGGCCGTCTTTGAGAAGAATCAGTCGGCACCTGCGTAGCACGGCTGGAAGGGGAACCGATTCCCGGAAGTTCCGGTCTGCCAATAACCTCTCCCTTAAAAATCCACGTTTTAATGCCAATCTTACCGTAGGTTGTATCAGCTTCTGCGAAGCCATAATCGATATTCGCTCTGAGCGTATGCAACGGCACCCTGCCTTCCATATTTGATTCTGAGCGTGCCATTTCGGCACCCCCCAGTCGACCACCGATACTGATTTTAACCCCTTGGGCACCAGCTTTCATTGAAGCGATAATACTTTTCTTCATTGCTTGCCTAAAATTGGATCGACGTAGGATTTGCTGTGCAACCGCTTCAGCAACAAGCTGGGCATCTAATTCAGGACGCTTGATTTCAGTGACATTAATCCGAATAGTCCTTTCACCGCTTGAACCTGAATCTGTCTGCAGGACATGCTCTAAATCCGCTTGTAACTTTTCTGCTTCAACACCACGCCGCCCAATGACGATACCAGGACGTGCTGTGTGTATATGAATATTACACCTATCGCCAACTCTTTCGATTTCGATACGAGAAATGCCGGCACGTGACAGTCTTTCCTTAATAAAGGATTGGATTTTCAAATCCTCATGAAGCCATTGGGTATACTCTTTTTCGTTGTACCATTGCGAGTCCCAAGTTTCAATGATGCCTAGGCGTAGTCCACGCGGGTGCGTTTTCTGTCCCACTAAAACCTCCTCCAGAATTCAGTTAGGCAAAGGTGGCCGAGCGACGGAGGTAAAGGAACATGGGTCAGCCTGTTCAGAAGATCGATAAGTTCATCCATCTTCACTCTCCTCTTCGTCTAGTACGACCGTAATATGGCATCTACGATGTAAGATCCTGTTTGCCATACCTCGTGCCCGGGCGCGAAACCATCTTCGGGTAAGGCCCTCGTCGACGACAATCTGTTTGACAATGAGATTGCTTTCGTCAATAGTGGCACCCTGCTGTTGTGCGTAATGTCGTGCATTCGCGGTAGCTGATTGAATCAGTTTGCGGATTACAGGAGAGGCTGCTTTATGTGTAAATGTTAATTGATTTATTGCCTCTCCGACGTATTGATCTTTAACTAAATCAGCGACCAAACGCGCTTTGCGCGGGGCGATCGGCACGTTTCGGATACTTGCTCGAGCGTCCATGTTAAAAATCTCCTAAATTAGCTTGAGCATTTGTATTAACTTCCGCTCATCATCTCGATTTTTCAAATGGGGAGTACAAGAATCGAGTCTGTTTTAGCAATTGAGTATACTTTATCTCCCACCACTCGCATGCGATCTGAATGTTCGAGTGGGAGAAAATTCACCGAGTTTATGTCCCACCATGTTTTCTGTAATATAAACAGGAAAAAATTTCTTGCCGTTATGAATGGCAAGCGTATGACCAATCAGGTCCGGAGTCACCATAGATCTACGTGACCATGTGCGAATCACGCGTTTGGTTCCAGACCGATTCATCACTTCGATTTTTTTGATAAGTTTTGGATCTATATAAGGTCCTTTTTTTAAAGAACGGGGCATGACATACCTCCTGAAGATGGGAAAAACACGCAAACCTTATGTCAATTGAAATAAATTACTTCCGACGACTGACGATATATCTGCCAGATTGTTTTTTAGGATCCCTTGTTTTATATCCTTTGGTTGGAACTCCCCACGGTGTTACGGGGTGTCTTCCACCAGCACTTTTCCCTTCGCCGCCGCCATGCGGATGATCATGTGGATTCATTGCCACACCGCGCACTTTGGGGCGATGGCCTTTCCATCGGTTTCGTCCTGCTTTACCAATAGTTAGATTTGCGTGGTCAACATTACTCACCTGTCCAATCGTTGCCATACATGTCACTGGAAGTAAACGAACTTCGCCGGAAGGCATTTGAATGCGCGCGTGCTTTCCCTCACGGTCTACTAATTGTGCCACAGTACCTGCACTTCGTACCAGTTGCCCCCCTTTACCCGGCTTCATTTCTATGTTATGTATCGATGTGCCGAGAGGGATTCTTTCAAGCGGCAAGGCGTTGCCAACTTTGATGGGGGCATCTGGACCAGCACTTAATACATCATCAACTTGTAGTCCTAGAGGTGCGATGATATAGCGTTTCTCTCCATCGGCATAATGGAGCAGGGCAATGCGGGCGGATCGACTGGGGTCATACTCGATTGAGGCGACTTTGGCAGGAATGCCAAATTTATCGCGCTTAAATTCAATAGCTCGATACCGTCGTTTATGGCCCCCACCGCGCCTACGGACAGTCATACGCCCTAGCGCATTACGTCCTCCCTTTTTCTTTAATCCCTTGGTTAACGATTTTTCGGATTGCCGCCGAGTCAACTCTTCAAAAGCATCCCCTGTCATAAATCGGCGACTGGGTGTGACGGGTGAATATGTTTTAACTGCCACGCTAAATCCCTCCTAGTAAGCCTTCAAACGTGCACCGCTAGATACTTTCAAAAGCATCAATGGTCGTTCCTTCAGTAACAGTAATGATTACCTTTTTCCAGTTAGGTCGCCGCCCCTGTCGATACCGCCAAAATTGTCCCTTGGTCTTCCCGCGGACCTGCATGGTATTAATCTTCAAGATTTTATCCTTGAGATCGAATAGTTCTTCAGCTGCTTTACGGATGTCCGTTTTATTGGCTTTGACATCAACAACAAAGGCGTATTTGTTCGCTTCTCTGAGGATTGTGGTTTTTTCTGTTATTAACGGCAGCTTGATAATCCGATATGGGTCTTTCATCTATGCTTCCTCAACTGATGAACCATCTGTTGGCTGAACGAACTTTTCTTCTAGCTTTTCCGCTGCACTTTCAGTGAAGACAATCTTATCGTGCCAAAGCACATCGTACACATTAAGGGTATCCCAGACGCAGCTGTTTACGTTAGAGATGTTCCGTACCGATAGACGGATGTTTGATTCAGGTTGACCGAGGACAAAGAGGACTTTATCCGCGAGTCCTAAATTCCCCAAAACTTGAACCATGTCCTTCGTTCTCGGAGCGTCTAACGTAAAGTCTTCAATCAGAATGCAACCATCACTTTGAAATTTGTCTGCTAAAGCCGACTGTAATCCGAGTTGACGTACCTTCTTCGGGGTACGTTGGCGATAGCTACGCGGCTTTGGACCGAATGCAACACCGCCGTGTACCCGTATTGGAGATCCGGCATCCCCGACTCGGGCACGACCTGTTCCTTTCTGGCGGTATAGTTTTTTGCCGCTTCCTTGAACTTCTGCCCGTGTTTTGGTGGAAGCAGTGCCTCGACGTTGGTTCGCAAGATGTGCAACGACGCACTGATGTATAACTGCCTCATTAACAGGTGCATTTACGAATGCGTCAGATAACTCTCTTTGTTTTAGGGTATCCCCAGAACGATTGTATACATCTAAAGCTGCCATGCGTGATAATCCTCAAAGGGTATATTTATTGTTTAGCCTTTACCGCTTTCTTGATAATAAGTAGTCCATTGGGTGGACCAGGAACAGCACCTTTAACGAGTAACAGGTTTCTTTCAGCATCTGCTTGGACAACCTGCAGATTCTGAGTTGTTACCTGTTTCCCTCCATGTCGTCCGGGCATCTTTTTGCCTTTGAAGACACGTGAGGGCCATGAACTATGGCCAATAGAGCCCGGTCGCCGATGGTTTTTCTCACTACCGTGAGTTTGCTTCATACCAGAAAAGTTCCACCGTTTAATCACACCTGTGAAGCCACGACCTTTAGATGTTCCCGTTACATCAATGAGCTCTCCGGGAGAGAAAATGCCCACGTCAATGTTTGAACCGACCTCCAAGCCCTCTGTGCTATCAACGCGCATTTCTCGCAAAAATCGATGTGGTGCGACATTTGCTTTTTGGAAATGTCCACTCTCAGGACGATTGACCTTGTTTTCGCGTCGATAGCCGAAGCCTAATTGGATGGCATTATAACCCTCATGGTCTTGAGTTTTGACCTGTACTATCGGGCAGGGGCCCGCTTCGACCACCGTGACTGGAATCGCAGCCCCGGATTCGTCAAAGATTTGTGTCATGCCAATTTTCTTTCCTAATATTCCATTATTCATGTTACATCTCCGCAACGAGGGTGTTTAGGTTCAACGACCTGTGCCTACAGAAGCGTAATTTTGACATCAACGCCAGCTGGTAGATCTAAGCGCATTAGTGCATTGACTGTCTTGGGAGTCGTTTGTAAAATATCCAATAACCGTTTGTGAATTCGCATTGCAAACTGTTCACGGGATTTTTTGTCTTTGAAGGTCGATCGCTGTACAGTGTAAGTGTGCTGCTTAACCGGAAGCGGAATCGGACCCGAGACCAATGCGCCTGTCCGTTTAGCTGTTTCTGCAATCTGACCTGCGGAATGATCTAACAAACGGTAATCAAATGATTTTAGACGAATCCTTATTTTCTGGTTATCCATTAATACTCCAACCAAATTTGGTTCATTGGCTCATTGGTGCATTACTGAACTAATGCACCAATGACCTCAAGTGGTTATTACTCAAGAACCTCTGAAACAACGCCGGCTCCGACGGTGTGTCCACCTTCACGAATTGCAAACCTTAGTTCCTCTTCCAGAGCAATGGGTTTGGTGAGTTCAACGGTAATACGGATATTATCTCCGGGCATTACCATTTCAACACCTTCGGGAAGATTCATCACACCCGTTACATCCGTTGTACGGAAGTAGAACTGTGGACGATAGCCACTGAAAAATGGTGTCCAGCGACCACCTTCGTCTTTGTTCAAAATATAGATTTCAGCCGCAAACTGCGTGTGCGGGGTAATACTGCCCGGAGCGGCAAGCACTTGCCCGCGCTCCACGTCCTCACGTTCAACACCGCGAATCAGGACTCCGACATTATCGCCCGCGCGACCTTCGTCAAGTAGTTTACGGAACATCTCTACACCGGTCGCAACCGTGCTAGTGGTCGGTGCGAGCCCAACAATCTCGACTGTTTCTCCAACGCGAACAATACCGCGTTCGATACGACCAGTAACAACCGTACCTCGCCCTGTGATTGAGAAGATATCTTCCACAGGCATTAGGTAGGGGCGATCAATGTCTCGTACCGGCTCCGGAATCCAATCGTCACACGCCTGCATGAGCTCTAAAATTGGCTGACATGCCTCGGCACTCGGATCGCCGCCACTTTCCATAGCTTGGAGGGCAGATCCGCTAATGACTGGGATATCGTCACCTGGGAACTCATATTCACTGAGCAGTTCTCGGACTTCGAGTTCTACCAATTCTAAGAGCTCTTCGTCGTCAACCATGTCTGCCTTATTCAGGAAGACAACAAGACTCGGCACGTTCACCTGTCGTGCTAAAAGAACGTGCTCACGGGTTTGGGGCATGGGACCGTCAGCAGCGGAGACAACAAGGATTGCACCATCCATCTGCGCCGCACCGGTAATCATGTTTTTGATGTAGTCCGCGTGTCCGGGACAGTCTACGTGAGCGTAGTGTCGATTCTCTGTCTCATACTCAACGTGCGCCGTGTTAATCGTAATCCCACGTTCCTTCTCTTCGGGAGCTGCATCAATCTCTTCGTAAGTTTTTACGTACTCATTCCCAGAGAGATTTGACAACACCATAGTAATTGCAGCCGTTAATGTGGTTTTACCATGATCAACGTGTCCAATTGTGCCAATATTGACGTGTGGCTTAGTCCTTTCAAATTTTGCCTTTGCCATCTATAAATCTCCTCATATTCTAATAAACAACATCCATTCACCTCACTGCTAAACGTTAGCAACAAGCCATGTCAACAGCGGGAATGGTTAAATCGAAAATCATTTCGACAAGATAATTTCCTGAGCAATGCTCTGGGGAACGCGATTATAATGTGCAAACTCCATCGAGTAAATTGCCCGTCCTTGCGTCAGAGAGCGGAGCGTTTTAACATAACCGAACATTTCAGCAAGCGGAACGTGGGCTTTAATAACCTGCGTTCCAGACTTGGAGTGCATATCTGTCTGGAAAATTTGTGCGCGACGCGCATTTAAATCTCCCATTACCTTACCCAAATAGTCATCCGGAGCAATAACTTCAATCTCCATGATTGGTTCAAGCAGTATCGGATCTGCGCGTTTCACTGCGTCTTTGAAGGCGATCCGAGCAGCGTTTGAAAATGCGATCTCTGAAGAATCAACGGGATGGTAAGAACCATCATACAATCGCACACCTACATCAACAAGGGGGTAACCTCCTAAAATTCCGGCGGTTATTCCCTCCTCAAGCCCCTTACGAACAGCGGGTATATACTCTTGGGGAATGACGCCTCCCTTTATTTCGTTGACGAATTCAAAACCAGCTCCTTGTTCTAATGGGTAAATCTCAATAACCACATGTCCAAATTGACCGCGCCCACCGGATTGACGAACAAAACGCTCGTTGGCTATTGCAGAACGCTGGATAGTCTCACGATACGAAACTTGAGGTTGACCAATCTCTGCTGAAACCTTAAATTCCCGAACCATGCGATCCACGATAATCTCTAGATGCAATTCCCCCATGCCGGACAGGAGTGTTTGTCCTGTTTCTGGGTCCTGATGAACCTTAAAAGTTGGGTCTTCTTCAGCCAGCTTTGATAGCGCTATGCCCATCTTTTCGATGTCCGACTTTGTTTGAGGTTCAATAGCAATGGACATTACTGGAGATGGAAATGCCATCGATTCCAGAACGATTGGCGCATTCGGATCGCAGACAGTGTCGCCGGTCATCACAGATTTGAAGCCAATAACAGCGGCGATATCGCCTGCATAAATGGCTTGGCGTTCCTCACGCTTGTTTGCGTTTAGCTGCATCAACCTGCCGATCCTTTCAAACTTCCGGTGCGTACTGTTGTATACAGTCATTCCTTGAGCCAAAACACCGGAGTAAACGCGGAGGAATGTAAGTTTACCAACATGCGGATCGGTTGTAATTTTGAATGCTAGCGCAGAGAAAGGCGCATCATCGTCTGCTAAACGGGTTCCATCCTCTTCAACTTCTGGATTCAAGCCGGTTACCGGTGGTACATCTGTTGGGGAGGGTAGATAATCAACCACTGCATTTAATAGCGGCTGAACGCCTTTATTCTTAAGGGCGGCACCGCACAAGACAGGAACAATTTCTCCGCTTAACGTCGCACTCCTCAAACCCGCTTTAATCTCTTCTTCGGACAGTTCAACCCCGTCAATATATTTAGCCAGTAGGTCATCGTCACACTCGGCAATTGCTTCCAACATCTGTTCCCGATATTCCAGAACACTGCTCATCATTTCATCCGGAATATCTGTATCAAACATTATAGATCCAGAACTGGCTTCGTCCCATGCTAGACCTTTCAGTGAAACCAAATCGACTATGCCACTGAAACTCTCAGCGGAACCGATCGGCAGTTGAATTGGTACTGCTGAAGCACCAAGCCGCTCGACCATCATTTCAAGTGTTCGGAAAAAGTCTGCACCAGTTCGATCCATTTTATTGATCAATGCGATGCGTGGCACCTGATATTTGTCTGCTTGTCTCCAGACTGTCTCCGATTGGGGTTCTACGCCGCCAACTGCACAGAAAACAGCGACAGCTCCATCGAGGATTCGCAGCGATCTTTCAACTTCAACTGTAAAATCGATATGTCCGGGGGTATCAATAATGTTAATGCCGTGTCCATCCCATTGGCACGTTGTTGCGGCAGCGGTGATGGTAATACCTCGTTCTTGCTCCTGTGCCATCCAATCCATTGTCGTTGTGCCGTCGTCAACCTCCCCCATACGATGCACTTTGCCTGTGTAGTACAACATGCGTTCGGTTACAGTTGTCTTGCCTGCATCAATATGCGCCATGATGCCGATGTTGCGTGTATGGGTCAATGGAAGTCGGCGATGCTCTATGGAACGCCGGTTTTCAGAGATTATTTGATTTCGTTTTGTCGCTCTCATTTTTCTTCAAACTTTCCGTGATACAATAAAGAGATAAAAAATTACCGTCCCGATAAATCGGGACTTCGCTGCGTTCAGCTTACCAACGATAATGTGCAAACGCCCGATTCGCCTCTGCCATGCGATGTTGATCAAGTTTTCTGCGAATTGAAGCCCCATCATTCTTAGCGGCATCTAATAATTCTCCCGCCAACCGCTCTGCCATCGTTTTCTCTCCACGCTCTCTTGCAGATTGGATAATCCAGCGAAGTGCCAATGTTGTGCGACGTTCGGCTTTGACATCAATGGGAACTTGGTAGGTTGCTCCTCCAACACGCCGAGACCGAATCTCAAGAACCGGCTTAACGTTGTTAATTGCTTCCTGGAAAACTGTAAGCCCGTCTTGGTCAGTGCGTTTCTCAACAATGTCTATACTATTGTATAGAATCGCACGAGCAACACTCTTTTTTCCACAAGACATTAAGAAATTTATAAATTTCGCAACCAGCTTACTATTATATTTTGGGTCTGGGAGTACGTCCCGTTTAACAACCTCTCCACGACGTGGCATACCTTACCTTGCCTCCTCTAACTGGCACTCTTTGCGCCATATTTCGATCTGGCTTGCCGTCGGTTTTCAACACCCGCTGTGTCTAATGTGCCTCGGACGATGTGATATCTTACATTGGGCAAATCCTTGACTCTTCCGCCTCGCACGAGTACAACTGAATGTTCTTGAAGATTATGATCTATGCCGGGGATATAGCAGGTGGCTTCTTGACCATTCGTAAAACGGACACGAGCGACCTTGCGGAGTGCCGAATTCGGTTTCTTAGGTGTTATTGTCCTGACTTGTAAACAGATGCCCCGTCGTTGTGGGCAACTTTCCAAGACTGGAGATTTGCTCTTCTTAGTTGTTCTTTTACGAGATTTTCTGACTAATTGATTAATTGTTGGCATATCGACCTCGACTGACTAATAATGTGCAGGCATAAATAAAGCCCCGCTACGGGGGCTCACAGAGTTGTCCTTTATAACGAAGTAACTGTGAAAAACACGCCAAAGTGCTTTAGAACTATAAAGTCCCCCTTTTCCGCCTAATTTGAAGCGAAAATCCTAAGTTAGCGTCAAAACGTGAATTGTACCAAATTGACGGTTGAATGTCAAGCACTTTTCTAGGTTTTTTATGAAGTTTTTTACGCTGCTCCCAAATTAACAGAATATTGCTGAATTATGTTTCCTCAAATTAATTACATCCGTACCGCCGGTTCTTGGACTGTATCCAACAATCGGGTGATTACAACATCGGAATCAACGCCTTCAGCTTCTGCGTGAAAATTGGTGAGTACGCGATGCCGGAGAACGGCGTGCGCCACCGATTTAACGTCTTCTATAGACGCATTCACACGCCCCCGTAGGATGCCGCGTGCTTTCGCACCAAGGATTAGGTACTGTCCCGCCCGGGGGCCCGCACCCCACCTGACCCACTGTTGGATGAAATCTGGGGCATCTTTGCTTTTGGGACGGGTTGCCCGTGCCAACCTGACCGCATACCGTACAACGTTATCAGCAGCTGAAACCCGCCGGACAATCTGATTAAGGGTTATGATGTCCTCGCCAGTAAGCACAGTTTCAAGTTCGGGTTCATCAACGCTGGTCGTCGAGGAAACAATCGTGACCTCCTCCTCCTCGCTCGGATAGTCGATCACGATCTTAAACATGAAACGGTCTAATTGTGCCTCTGGCAGTGGATATGTGCCTTCCTGCTCAATCGGATTCTGTGTGGCAAGGACGAAGAACGGTTGTTCCAGATTATACATAGTGCCACCCGCTGTGACATGATACTCCTGCATTGCTTCGAGTAATGCAGCTTGAGTCTTGGGTGGGGTCCGGTTGATTTCATCGGCAAGCAAAATGTTGGCAAATATGGGACCTTGGATAAAACGGATCTCCCGATGACCCGTGGAGCGCTCCTCTTCCAAAACGTCTGTGCCAGTAATGTCGGCGGGCATTAGATCTGGCGTGAACTGAATTCGCTTGAACTGAAGATTGAGGATTTGGGCAAGTGTCTTAATCGTCAAGGTTTTAGCGAGCCCGGGCACGCCTTCGAGCAAACAGTGGCCGCCTGCAAAGAATGCCATCAGCATCTGATCAATGACTTCTTCTTGACCGACAATTACTTTTTTGAGTTGTTCCGAGATAAGGTCTCTGGCATCCATCAGTTTTTCAATCGCTTGAACTTCTTCTGTCGCTGGCATGATATTCATGACTCCTTAATCGGTTTTAATCTCAATGAGGACATTTTCTTCTAACAATCTTTGTTTAGCCAATTTGATCGAAATGATTCTCCTCTTTTTAACCGAGCATCTCCCCCCGATCAACGCGAATAGGTCCAACTCGCTACGAAATCGTCGACATTGAAGACGGGCATCTCGTTGAAGATGTAGGGAGTTGGCTCCTTGTTCTGAAAGCCGGGCACGAGTTGAGGCGAATCGGTCTGGAGTGCGCTATCCAACGGGAGGAACCGCTGCCAGAGCAGTTTTCGCTCCGATTCCGTGAAGCGATTGGACATTAGCTCGCGTGGATGATGACGTATGTTCTTCGCCCGTTTGGACAACAGTACGAGGCAGGTCATTCGACCTTCAATGCCGGGGTGTAGTTCAGCCAACCCCTGACGGAATCCTCCTTCATCTAACCCAATAACTGAGCGGAAAATACGTTCAATCAAGGCGAGTTCGCCCCGATCCAGATCGAGGAAATGTTCAAACTTAACCGCCAGATGCGCCGGCAACCTATCAATCAACTCCGGTTGCCAAACGAAGGAGTGCGCATGTGGGTATATGCCATTGCCAAAGGCGCGATAGGTATACTGTAAGGTCCGACGCAGCTTCGTACTGTAGTTACTACCCCAGTGAAGAATTGTGTTCAGGTATACAACACCGTCACCTGCCTTCAACTCGATCGGGATGCCACTATCCAACGGCTCATGTTCGCTTTTGGATAGCTGCCGGTTTTCCGCCTCGGTATTGAAACGCTTGTGGCTGCCGGGCACTGCCCACAGTACATCATCATCATACAGTGCGATGTTCCACTGCGTGTATGCCGGGGGATTCGCTAGGGAATCTGTGAACAACCCCTCCAACGGTCCCTCGCGCCACGACCGGATATCGCGATGCCAGTCCCACGGACCGTGGTCTACCCGCGGGTTGCAAAACATACCGAATTGCAGCGGGGCTACCTCCTCCGCCTGCATTAACTGCTTGCTGATTCCGTAGGTGTTCTCGTGAAACACAAACTCTACTGACTCTGCCGCCTCTGGATCTACCACCCGATCAAATAACACCGGGCTGTGGACCCGACTCCCACTCTCCGCCCGGTGGCTCGTCCGGCTTACGATTGTCCGCCCACCACCGCTTATGCCGTTCGAGCATCTGCTCACAATGCGTCTGTAACGACTCAAGTTGTTGCGGTGGCACGCAGTCGCGCACATGATGTAACCCTTGTCCTGGATCTCTTTTGTGTCCGCAATTGTTGTCATGGCGTCCATCCCCGATGTATCGGGGTATCAATGCTTGGGTTTACCTAAATAGCCTTCATCTCTTTTTGTGAATCTCCGCGGTCTGCTCCGCAACCGTTTCCAGTTGGTCTTCATCCCACTGTTCTTGCTGCTGCAATGCGTACAGCGATGTATAGCCCCCTGACCAATCGGGAGGCACTAGGCAGGGGCGATCATCATGGTGCGCCCAGCGTGCTGGTTCGCCCCGGACAATGGTGCCCTCATATCGACTGGGTAACGGATTGGCGGTGTAGGTGAAAGCATCGGCTGACGAATAGACATTCAGCAGTAAAGGTCGTCCTTGGTCGGAAAGGTTCGGTTTGGAACCGTGAATCACGCGACAATTATGAATCGTGATAGATCCAGCGGGTCCCTTTAGATACTGGACATTTTCTGTATCAATACTTTTGGCGTCTTCGTCACTGAGGCAACCGACCCATTGATTGCTGTCATTGTACTGATTGAAAAGTTCGCCCTTGTGGCTTCCGGGGATAGCACCGAGGGGACCCTGATCATCGCCTACATCATGAAGATAAACGCCGATTGTGAGCGGACTGTAGTTGGTATGGGGCCAATAGGTGATGTCTTGATGCCACTTAACCTCTTCGCCGCCTTCTGCCCATTTGAAATTCAATTTCGAGTGATGGAATTTCACGTCCGCTCCCACCAGATCCGCTGCCACGTCAGCGATAATTGACTGCGAAGCAAACTCCCAATAGGCCGGATGATGTTCAACCGGACTAGTCAACCGGCGTAGACGCGGATTGTCCGCCGTATGACCCGGTTCCAGATCGAACATCATGTCCGACTTGCTCAAGGAGCGACTGCGCTGCACCATTTCATCTGTAACGTCGATCAGACGTTCGACCCAATCCTGCGATACAATGCTTTCAACGAGCAGGTATCCGTTATCAAAATAAAATTGACGTTGCTCTTGAGTGAGTGCCTCAGGTTTGTGGGACAATATCTTCTCAGGTGTCATCGGAAACCTCCTTCTATACGAAATCAACAATGGGATCTATACTTTCTTCTAACCGGACTTTCGCTGATACTAAAAATACGTCCATACGGTTCTGCGTCGCCATCATATTTTGGGTTCAGACGGCGAACCATTTCCTGTGCCTCTTGGGACCAATCTTCAGGGATGGGATGTGTCTTGCTAGCCAGCTGTGCCTTGATGCGCTCCGGCAAATCGCAAAAATCGGGCTGGAACCAGAGTGTGAGACCGTGCGGCGTTCGTCGGAGTTGTTCGCGTACGATGCGTGCAGCAGGCGTGAATCACCGATTAGCAGATCGCCCGCTTTGACCGGGACATCAATTTCATCAGGGCGCATCGAAAATTCGGGGCGGTTTAGGTTCTTTGCCGCTGAAATCTCACCGGCATGTGGTTCCATGATTAAATTGTGGAGTGGGTTGTGCTTGTAATGACGACCCAGGAATCACGCGGAGACAACCGTTATGGGGTGTGGTGTCAGTCAGGTAGTACATAAAAAAGACCTGCTGTGGTCGCGGGTCGTAGGTACTCGGATCTGCCCAACCAAACCAGTCGTAGTGCCAAAACAGCGGTGGACTGTGCGGTGGTTTGCTGAGGATATACCCACTAGTAAAGGTTGAGTCCTTGAACCCCATTGACTTCAACGCGTCAAGCGACAACTGCCACGAAATCAGTTCCGCGAAAACCGGATGCATAGAAGTAAGCCTGAAATGACACTTCCTTGAGAACGAAAATATCTTTTGTGCTCCTCCGTCATGTTTTCGCAGAGTCGGTCTGTCACGCTTTGAAGTGATGAGTAGCGCACGTTCAGGATATTCTCAAAGATACAGAA